TCCATGATCAAAGAAGCACTCGAGTAGTCTGCATCGGCGACGGCAGGCAATTCCACTAAGCCCATACTGCGCCAGGGCAACGTGCTTGAGATCTGTCTTTCAAGGATTCGACCAGGATAGCTTCTGGGCATGTGTCTCAGACGCCATCTTCGAGAACGGGTCTTCGGCTGATGTGCAGCATCCCCAGCCGCCGATCAGGCCTGAAACACGTTAGCACGAAGCTAGCAAAGTCAAAAAGTACAAAATCAAAAGAACAAAGAGCGAACGTTCCGTCTCGAGTCTCCACCATCAACGCTGGCTCGTTGAGATGGCGTTGACTGAGCTGAGGTGGCGTTCAACGGGGTTACGCCGTATCAAAAATGTAGGTGCCGTTCTCCGGGCCTCTCCGTTTCTCCTCTGGAAGGACTCAGGAAAGGGGGATTCGTGGGTGATCTGCCCAGGGTTTGTGAGTTCCGCTTCGGGTCCGGAGCATAACATCCCCGCCGTTCGCTGCGAAGAAGCAGATGTGGAACAGAGGGCGCGGCGAGCCGGCGACTCTTGTTACATCGCAGAAACACGGGGTGAGATTTCCTCGTCGGAATTCTCCTAGCTCGAAGCATGAACCCAGCGAGCATCATTTCTGCAGGTGCTCCTCTGTAGCTGCAGTAGATATGTCAAAACAGAACACCTGTCACATAAGCTGTTTCGCTTTGCCAACGGTTTGGACGGTAGACCCCAGTTCACAGTTTACAGGGTGTATAATCCCGGGCGATGGTCAGAGGCTTATCCTTGACCCGCAAAGTTCTAGTAACTGGGTCTTCTATATGCTGCGCATTCCAAGTCAAGCAGAAAGCTTCCGATGGAATGATAGAAAGACTGAGGCGCCTCACGACCTTGGCGGCCCTTTGCTCATTGGTCGGATCTTGTAGTGACCTGATGAGCAAGCTCCAGGAGGTATTCCGTGCGCTTTTCTTTTCACTACTATTGTCATCACAGTCTGAATTGAAACAAATGGTGAGCGCGGAATGCACTTGCACCCTGCCCCAGATCATGGTGGCTGTTCCAATGGCATCACTTGCGCTCAATCAGGCTGACGCTAGACGCAGTATGCTAAAAGTTGGGACTGAGGAGCCCGATTACGACGACGCGCTAGTTCCCTTTTTGGCAAGACATTTGCTTCGCCAAGTCCTGAGTAGACGCTCATCAGAGCTGTCGCCTTTGCTGAGGACGGGTTTGGTTGTATGGCATCATGGTCGGGTGTCTCGAACTGAGTCGAACACCTGATAGAGCGAGGTTACCTCAACCCCTCTTCGCGGGATGATACTCGATGGCGTCCAACCAGGGCTGTCCAGTATCTGCAGGCAGAGACCTCGAGTCGCACAAGTTGCCTGTCATTCATGACTTTTGAAATAATTATGCAACTTGTTGTCCGTTGTACACGGAACAAATCGAGGTTTCTCAACTCTGATAGGCTTACCAGCCTACCAGGAAGTCTCTCAGCAGGGAATGCTTGCCCTCGATCCTGTTTCACATGGAAGGATCGCACGAGGGCATCCTTTGGCTGGAAGAAATCTTATCGCTGGGACAGAAGATGGCTTTATCGAGTCCTTCGTGCCAAGGGCCACTAATTGTGGGCGTTGACGTCTTATTGATTGAAGAGAAGAGTTATGCGGGGCCGACGATGACGCCTGACAGGCCTAGGGTGGACTGCTAGTAAGCTCTGTCCGTCAGCCCATCCGCCCATGGTCAAATCTTAGAGTGACTCGACCTCACAAGTTCGCAGAGATGGACGAAGTAATTGCACCGGGAGGCAACATGAACACGGGGGAGGAAGAAGGGAGGCCGGTGATGGTACGGCCACTTGGCAATGACAGCAGCGTTACACAGCCTGCTTTGGCGAGATGAGGATTCTCCTCTTTCCCATTTCCCATCATCTCTTGTTCCTTTTCTGAGTATGCTCTGCCTCGCTCCATATTTCAAGCCTCTTGTTGTCCTTCCCCAAGTGTCCGGGATCCTCCTCTTGCCGGGGACCGTTAGAACGTTTCGAGTTAATTCGAGATGCTGCCAAGGAGGGATGGCCGCGATGTGAATGGGGAGGGTGGCATCGTCATCGTGTTCGCACCAATTGCTGATTCGAGGGACCTGGCACTCGATGGGGCGGGCTCTCTGGCCCTCGTCCGGCCCCTTTTGATTTGACAGCGGGCCTCGGGAGGGGTGGATTGGCGTCTGCGCCGGTGGGAACAAGGCTGACGGCAGCAAGTCAGATCCGTTGCTTCCATTCCAGATTGTGCGTAAATTGCTATTTTGCTGATTGACTTTGGGCTAACTGCGGAAGAAGCCAGAGAAGATCTCGGAGGGCAGGAAAAAGAAATACCTGATGCGGGTCTGACTCTCTTGCCTTGCGTAAGATGACGGTCACGAGAAATTACGCGACCTCTGCCGGAGTCTCGAGAATACAGAGACCGAGGTCTATGACTGGCTGGCTATCGATCCTGCTGCTGATCATTGTTGCTCTCGCTGTTATTCTCTCGGTGGCCGGGATTCTGAGGATGAAAAAGCCTCGTGTCAATAAAACGCTAGTGGATGGTACCTGACTGCCCGCTGGGATCGTGGTCGTTGTTGATAGCCCTTCGCCTATGCAAGATGGACTAAACTCTCGCCATGATTCGAGACGATGGAGCTGGAGCTGGAGGTGGAGGCTATTACCCACAGCGTCTGTGATCGAGACTCCGAACCTGTCCAGTCTCCAGAGTCCAGCCAGAGTAAGAAAGGTGGGTGGATCCGGATCTCTACCAATGATGGAAAAGAAATAAACGATTCACTGACAGCTGCCTTTGGCACGGTAGTTGCTCTCGAGTTTTTAGCTGCATCACTGCTATTATTCTCAGAATATAATAGTATGATTTATTATTGATATTCGTAGATTAAAGCCGTTGACTAGCAGCATCGTAGTGATCCTGCCCTGGCGGACTGTAGACTGATACTATCTCCAACATTCCCCAACACAAAGTACCCCAGCTTTCAATCACTCACTTGATTTAAGGATCGCTCGCGGCTCCGTTCTCTGCCTTGACCTTCCAGTCCTCTTTTCTTGTCCCGGCATCACGCACTTCTTCTACACAAGCTTGGCCACCACCATCCTGCCACATCCAGCAGCGCCCAGGTTAGTTCGCTCTCAGTTCTTCAGGCTCCAATCCATGCAAATCATCTTCACCTCACCCTGGATCTAATCTCCAGGTGACGGCTGCCAAACCGTCACATTTGCGCCTTCTCCTGCGTCCTGCATTCATCCTGGTCAATATTACACCACCTTCCCGCTAGTAACAAGCTCATCTTGATATCCCCACCACTCACTCTTTTGATTTAATTTTATTTCCGCTGTTTCTTTTCTCTCCGTGCTCTGGCCTTTTCCGGATGGGGGCTAGCAGGCTCTAGCCACCCTGGATGGGTCTCCGAGCTAAATAACGACCCTGGACCCTCCACACACTCGCAGCAGCGCACCGTTTAACAAGGCCCTCCCCCAGTCCGCCCAGGGCAACGGACCGCTGCCATTTGTTCTTTGCTTTAAGCTTCGATCTTGTCTTGCTGTCTCTTTCTCTGCCTCTCCCTGCTTGCTTCGCTTTCCAGCACCTTCTAAGTCTTTCCCCTCGCAGTGCATGAGATGAGTCTCTGAGTCGACGAGAATCGAGTCCTCGACCTTCGAGGCTAGTCATGACTGGTGTTGTCCCGAATGACCTCGCCCGTTCTTCAGTGACAGGATACAAGGACAATCCTGCTGATAACCCGGTAAGGTTTTGCTTTCTTTTGCCCTTTCACTTGATTTCCTGCTCTTCTTTTCTCCGTTCTGCGGCTTCATCCAAGGACATCCCGGCTCGTTTCACGTGGTTGAGACCGGGAGCGACCTGTCAATGAGGCGAGATTACGAGTCAACTGCGGCGATCTCTCCATGGATCTGACAGTGCACGGCACTCCTGCTGTAACCGGATACCGCTATCTTAAGCTTTGATACACGCGACTCGACCCTAGCCGTCTTGGTGCGTCAGTCTCCATCTAAATTGAGGCTCCAAGTATCCGTTCTCCACTCCCTGGGTCCCTGGAAGACCCTCTTATCTGGCCTGATACTCGCCGCTTCCCGGAGGGCAGTCTTGTGCGAGTCTCTGGCCGACGTGGACAGTGTCCCTGAGCTCTGAAATCGAATGTTTCGCGAAACTGGACATGTGCGACCTCAGGAACCGCAAAGGCATATCATGGGCCTTCATTGTTACAATGAGATGTTGAGTCTCTCCGGTCACACCTGGTGTGACTGAAACTCCTACAAGCGCTCTGGCGCATTGGCAATGTCTTGATGCGAAGAGTCTTGTATTGAGACATGTCAAGTTTGGACCCGAGCCATATCCATCCTTCAGTCTGGAATGGCCGTAAGTGCTTAGAGCATACTTTGAACAACCATTACTCCTCGAATCAGCCAGCTACCTACAGCGTGAGGCCGGAGATTGACAGCTGCTATCATGTGGCAACCGGGGGTTATGCAGTCTCCCCCGTCTTGCAGCTCGAGCGTTGGATGCACATATTAAGAACATTACTGACCAGTGTTATTGCAGTTGCGACGACAACACGCTATCTCTGAGCATCAAGGCCCTCAGCATTCGCATCTTCAACATCCCGGCTCAGCGGGCCTCGCTGAGAAATCCAAGCAACCCGAGTCGCCTCACCCAACTAACACAAGTCTCTCTCCTGGTTCATATGGTCCTCCTACACTAGGAAACGGAGTCTTGCATCATCCACATCCATACGGCCCACAAGCTCCAGAACAAACCTATTATACATCGCATCAGTCTTACACCACGGCGAACTCACCTAGCCAATACCCATCTAGCGGTAGGTGCATTCGTCTTACTCTACGTTAGGCCCTGATAGCACACTTGCCACTTCGCGGCTGGTCCCGAAGATCCCCAGTCCGCGTCGGAAGTCAATCATTCTAGACCTTGACCTCTAACTCTCCTCCAGGCCCTCCAGACATCATGGCCACTACGCAGATGCATCGGCCTTATCCTCCTATCTATCATACGCCCCAATCAAGCTCACCTGCTTCAGTGGCTTCGCAGACGCACGAACATAACAGAAGTCTCTATACTCAATCTCCCCAAATGACGTCCACGATATATGGCTATCAGCAAGCTTTATCAGGCATTCCCGTGCAGCCCTCGCCATATGGGGCACATCCCTCGCCTCAACAACATCCTCTCACCACCCAGTCAATGATCATGTCTCACCAAACAGCCACATCCCAGCTACCGCATCAGTCTTCCCAGGCACCAACTACTGCATTGACTAGTCCCACTGCTGCCACTGTACAGCAGGCGACGCCTCCCCAAAGGGCGCTCTTGAACCCACCGCTTCCTGCGACCGGAGCGCCCCTCCCACCAAGCAATGGCAGCCACCAGAGCCCAAACCTTGGGGCTAGCTCTAGCGCAGCACCGGGTCCTATCCCAGCGACGACCCCCCTTGTTGTACGACAAGACAGTAATGGGGTACAGTGGATTGCCTTCGAGTACTCCCGCGATCGCGTGAAAATGGAATATACTATTCGATGTGATGTTGAGTCGGTCAATGTGGACAACCTGTCACAGGAGTTCAAGTCAGAGAACTGCGTCTATCCTCGGGCGTGTTGCAGCAAGGACCAATATAGGGGGAATCGTCTTGTTTATGAAACCGAGTGCAATGCCGTTGGCTGGGCACTGGCAGAGCTCAACACTACGTTGCGAGGGAAGCGTGGACTGATCCAGCGCGCAGTTGATAGCTGGAGAAATAGCAATCAAGACCCTCGACTACGAAGTCGGCGAGTGAGACGAATGGCCAAGATAACCCATCGAAAACATGGCCCACCACAGCCGCCACCTTCACACATGGCTGCGACAGCCGCGGTTCCCCCTGGAGTTCCCAGTTCTAGCATCACACCGGTCGGTCCACGTCCACCACTTGGACCATTAACAGCTATGGGACCACCGCACTTACATCATCACCATGCCCAACCGGACGGACCAGGCCACGATGAAGTTAGCGGTATGTTCCGCCATATATGACACGCATATCCCATTGACACCAGTATCTGTCTTGGTTCCTAAAACCTTGTATTCCTTCTTTCCTTTATCTCGCGTGCATAAGCATGGCATTACGGGCTGCTCTGACTCTAGCTTTGTACTTCTACTCTTGTCTTGTTTGTGACGTCTCTCTCCGGCCTTTTGTTGTCCTCTTAAGTCTATACCCCATCCTTCAATTTGTCTGCTATGTCATGACCGATACGTACTGCTCTTTCTTGCCCTCACCGTGAAGCGCCATATTTCTTTCCGTGTAGGCTGATTTTTGAATGTTGCCTTCTCTGTAGGTCCTGTCGAATACGCGAGTGGTGCCCATCGACCCTTACCACCGGCACCAAGCCCTAGCGCGCACTCGGCAACAGATATTCGCACCGCACAGGTATTTCACGGATACCCTGCGTTTCCGCTTCCTGCCAGCTCGCCGTCCGGACACCGAGGCCCCTCCATTCCACCTTTGATCCGAGATAACGGAATCGGGTCCTTTGGACGCCACCCAGCCGTTGCAACCTCGAGCAGGGTTGAAGAGGTAGGGGAGGAGGATGAACATGACCCAAACAAAGACGACCTCTTTGGGACATTACCAGAAGGCAAGCGCCGCAAGTTTATTCTTGTCGATGACACTCAGAGGCCTGGCTGTCGTGTCCGCGTCAAAGTCATGCTAGATCAGGTGGACATGGACGAGATCCCTGATTCCTACCGCATGTCCAACTCTGTATACCCACGCACTTACTTTCCCGTCCAGATGAAGACTCCTCGGGGCCAAGTGCTTCCTGGAGACCGGTACATCAAGGACGATACCGAGGCCAATGACGTTGACGATGATGAGGGGGCCACGGTAGGAAGAATCATGGTTCCCGCTCCGCAGGTCGAAGATGACAGCGAGATAGCTGTCCCGAGGATCTCCCGAGGCAGACATAGGAAGGAGGTACTATTGAATGATCTAGGCTACCGGATGAGCTGGAGCCAGAGCAGAGTATTCTCTGGACGCATGCTATTCCTTCAACGATCTTGTAAGTCCCTTACGCCTTTTCTTAGCTACTTAGCTGGAGTCTAGTATCATTGGTTACCTAGATGACTAGAGAAATTTTGTCATGTCACGCTAACATTGAACCTTAGTGGACGCGTACCGGAACAAGATGCGCAGCACAATGCTCGCCGCTGGCCAAGAAGCTGGCTCAATTCCACCACATTTCGAAACCCGTTCAGGAAAGCGACAATTTCTTGAGCGCAGGAAACGGGCAACTATGTCCCGCGAAGGCGGGCATACCGTTTCTGCTTCTCAGCATGATGCCGAAGAAGTCGAGCCCTAGCCGCACTCACTGTCAACACTTCACCTTCATACTCTTTCAAAGTTATCACTCCTTGATTTTTTTTTCCCTCTCATCTGTCACTATCTTCATTGCGCCTATTTTTCCTTTCTTCCACATTTGCGTGACCGTACAAATCTAACGACCACGGCCGCTATGTACGATAATAGACAGACAACAAAAGTCGCACGGCCTAAAGCGCGGTGTTGTATCTTACGGTCTTTGTTTCTTTCTCAGAGCACATGGCTTTATTGGTGTCTGGAGATGGGCTGACTTTGTTACTCATACCGTCCAACTACTTCGGCATGCTTCAACGATTTGATGCGGATGACTTATGACCACGCTTGGAAGGGAAACAGCAAAGCAAAAAGAGCGAAGGAGCTGATCTCTGTTACGACTTATGACTCTGTTTAATTCAGCCATTGTACGCAATTTGTTTCCGTCTTCGATAACGATAGTTGTTCGTTTGGTTTGGTACAGGCGCTGGAGAAACTTTTTGAAATCTTCTATAATTACTTCGCTGTCAGTCTTACTATTATCTTTTTCAAAATTATCTTGATATGACACTGGTGTTTTAAGTATCAGCTTTGCTAATTTTCCTGATGCCGAACTAGCATCAACAGAATCCTGCTGAGCATAAGCACTACTTGAGAATGCTCCCAAGCGAAGCCGTTTCCCCGGACTCTGAGACAGCAGGCCATATATATACACTGTATTAGTCGTCCGATGCTCGTGCGGAGTAAAGTTGTTAAAATTCTAGAAGCGATAGGTGATCGCGGTTATCTTAAACACCAGGAGCTGAAGTCCGCAACCATCACATGGTGTCTCGGTAAGGAACTGCGCATGGACTTTTGCCTTCCAGAAGACGCGTATACCGACTCAATAAGGCCGTAGAATTAGGTTAAGAGTGCTGCATGTCTCATACAAGAACGCCATTCCTCCACGTTTGCGGGCGGCCACTCTGGCTGGCTTGTCCGAAGCGGGACTAGTGGCCGGTTATTTTTAGCGGGAAAGACAAGGCCAACCCCGTGGCACCAGTACCGTAATCAATACGCCCCCGTACAGGGTCGTGAGCCCTACCAACCAGGGTTTACAGGGTCTTTACAGGGTCCGTATGCTGGTTGTCGGGGACACAGCCTCCACCAAGAGCATCAACATAACGAACTCAAGAACCGAGTCCGCATGCAGTAACTAGTCGATCAATCGAGTCCTTCTCCGCTTTCTTTATCCAACGTCAGTCTTCAACCTCGTCTTCTCTTCCTCGGTCTCATCCTCGACTCCTCGTCCCCTTCTTCTGCGCTGAGATCGAGATCGCGGTGCCTCGTCCCACTTCCCACCCACCTTATGATCCGCCGATAGTCTGTGCTTTGGACGGTCCTACTATTTGCCTCTGGCCAATATATCAGCAGCGTAATTACTCCGAGAATCACCTGCGACGCCGACGCCAACTCCGGCTCACGTTTTCTTGTCTGTTCCTGACTCCTCAAACTCTCATTGTGCCTCTTGCTCTGGAACCGTGGTTTTTCTTCGACCACGGTGGGTTCAACCGATTTGACGTTTCAGATGGTTCCAGTGTCTTGCTGACTTTGGGACAGGGATTTGTCTCATCCTCGCTCTCCTGCGTTTCGACTGCCTGCTTCTTTTTTCTGCCCAAGTCGTCTTCGCTCTTCTTTGATCAACTTCGGTGTTTCCGATCTAGAGATATCAGCCGCATTGCAGATCGAGACCGAGACCGAGATAGAGAAGCGGTGCAGCAACAATCTACTGTGGTCTTCGGCCAATACCGGTGCCAACCACGGCCACTGAACAGACGAACACTCCATGGGCGACAGATCAGATCAGTACGGCGACATCCCGCCGGTTCACTCTCAACAGCAAATGCACGGATATGGACGCAACGGCGAACCAGGCCTTTCGTCAGTGCCAGAAGACCAGCACAATTGGGGGCCCGGTCCGGGTATTGCACATACACACTCCATGCGAACAGACTCCACTGCAACTCCGGGGATGGATAATCTAGGGCCTGCGGCTGTGGGCGGCGGTATTAGTGGTATCGCCCTTGGCGTTGCCAACACCCATGACCGTCAGAGTGGCGTTGACGCTTTCAGGGAAACAGACGCAACACTCGGCTACATCCCCGCTGAACGAGGATACCACACTACCGGCGCGGATAATCCGTATGTGCCAGCGCCACCGAGCATTGGGCCGGGCCCAGACGGCAGCTCGGAGGGGCTGCCCTCGCATGAGACCTTCGGCTCGAGTGCGGCATTGGGAGGTGCAGCTGCGCCGGTAGGTAACTGGACGCCGCCAGGCGGATCGCATAATAGCTTTCTCGATGCTTCTTATCCCGCGGCAGGGCCAGGGCCATACCAGCGATATTCGGGGCAAAGCGCGCATGAATACCACGGCAACATCAACCCGGATGATATTCTTGACGATGGGGACGACGGTTTTGTGGCAGCTCCGTCCAGAAGGTCCCATGCAGCTGGAGGGGCAGCCGCTGGCGGTGCAGCTGGTGGGCTTCTAGGAGGGTTCTTCGGGGCCAAGAAGGCGGCCGATGTTTCCTACGACCCAGTTCCAGGAGCAGGTCTGCCGTCTGCAGAAAAGTATGCTAGGCCCAGACCGTCCGGGGGGAGTAAAAAGCGTGGATGGATTATCGGCGGTATTCTGGCTTTGATAGTGGTCGCAGCCATTATCGGTGGTGCTGTTGGCGGCATCTTGGGCAATCGTAGGTCAGAGAGTTCATCGGACTCTTCCGACGGTGTATCAGCAGATGATGACACAGAGACCAACGGCGATCTCGACAAGAACTCGGACGAAATCAAATCTCTTATGGCTATGGAAGGGTTGCACAAGGTGTTCCCAGGCATGGACTACACACCCTGGGGCGTCCAACACCCCGAGTGTGACAAATGGCCACCGTCCCAGAACAACGTTACCCGCGATATGGCCGTGCTTTCTCAACTGACCAACACTGTGCGCCTCTACGGCACTGACTGCAACCAAACCCAAATGGTCCTGCACGCCATCGACCGTCTAGAGCTCACGGACATGAAGCTCTGGCTCGGCGTCTGGATCGACACAAACACCACAACCAACAAGCGCCAGCTCTCGCAGCTCTACGACATCCTTGACAACCGCTCCGACCATTCCATCTTCAAGGGTGCCATCATCGGCAATGAAGCCCTCTACCGCGCGGGCTCGACAAAAGAAGAAGCACGCAAGAACATTATCAGCTACATGGATGAAGTCCGCCAGCACTTCGAGGACCACAATATCAACATCAAAGTCGCGACCTCCGACCTCGGCGACAACTGGGACGAGACCCTGGCGAACGCCACAGACGTCGTCATGTCTAACGTCCACCCGTTCTTTGGTGGCGTTGAAGTCAACAAGGCAGCAGGCTGGACCTGGACCTTCTGGGACACGCATAATGCCCCGCTTACGCAGGGGACGAATAAAGGCAACATCATTGCCGAGGTAGGCTGGCCCAGCGGTGGAGGCAATGATTGCGGTGACGGCGCAAACTGCAACGACGATACCTCTGGTGCTGTGGCGGGCGTCAAAGAGATGAACCAATTCATGGCGGATTGGGTCTGCCAGGCGCTGGAGAATGGAACGGATTATTTCTGGTACGTGGCCTATCAAACTTAGGGCAAGGATCTTCTGAACTAACAACACCATTACAGGTTTGAGGCATTCGATGAGCCGTGGAAGGTACGATTCAACACGGGCGATGAACAGTGGGAGGATAAATGGGGTCTCATGGATCCAGGTCGCAATCTGAAGCCTGGGATTGAGATTCCTGACTGTGGCGGCAAGACAGCGACATAGCCCTAGTCTGTCTTGAACCCTAACCTCCGAAAACTCCCCAGCATGACTAGCTCTCCTTCACGAAACCTGTACCTCTCGGTGTTTATGTTCTTTTTCTTCTGTATACATGATTCAGTAACGTACAAATGTCTGATGATCTGTCTCGCTGCTCTATGTCTGTCTTGGTTGGTGTCTTTCCCGTTTTGGCGTTGTGTTGGACTTTTCCCTTGATCTCATTGATTGTTGACTGTGGTCGCTGGCATAGTCCTTTCTGTGTTGTTTCCCATTGAGCCTTTTGCATGATTGTTTGACTCTCTTTGTTTGCCGGACGCTTGGTTCGCTATGTATATAGTTGTACCTGGCTCGTTGGCATGCCGTGACGACTGGGCTGGTTGGATTTGGACGAAGTCGGCCGTCTGCGCTGCTCGAGCTGAGTCTGTGACATGATTGAAAACCACAAACCCTCTCTCACTCCCACTCGTACCCGTCCTATGCTTCAGTGCAGTAATGACGCGCCCGGTCGGGGTAGTTGCATAGCATTTATGCCTTACCTCCCCTGGCAACATCATGGCTTGCCAACAGTATCCAATAATTATGGTTCGTCGTCAACCAATCTAGATCCTGTCCTGTCCATTGTACCTCAGCCTTTAGGATCCGCCTCACTCTCTTTACTCTCCAACCCGTCCTCCTCAACCTCCGGTGCAGGAAAATAAACACTCATGCCCCAGAACGCCGCTTCCAGCTCGCTGAACTCCTTCAATCGTATTGACTCCCTGTTCTGCACAAAGCTCTTCACAACATCTGACTCGATATCGTCCAGCGGCCCGCCAAAGACAATCGCGGGGTCGCGCGCAAGGAGCGCTTCGAGGTGCCGTCGTTCTGCGCCGGGACAAAAGAGGAGGGTTCGTTTCGTGACTTTTTGGAAGGCGTGCGGGTGCGCGAGGACGGTTATGTTCAGCGAGTTGAGGAGGGATTCGTCATAGGTGTTGAAGACAGGGTCTTGCGCGTAAGCGGTTATTCTGGGCTTCGAGGTCAGGCTAGATGTGTAGTTCTCTGATAGTGCGCGAGAAGTTAGGGTATGGTTTATGGTTATGAGGTTACGGGAAAGAGGTGGGACGAACCAATCCAGCTCAATACGCTGGCTAGCGCAGCGAGTTGGTACATCGATACAGAGCGACGGTCGACCCAGCCGCCGCGCAAGAAGCCGCTGGGGCTTCCGAGACCGATGCAGACGATTGAGATGCCGTCTTCAGCTTCGTCTTCGTCTTCGTCTTTGCGCTGCGCCGTTAACGAGGACACCCCGCACTTCAAACCCTCGACCACACATCCCCAGGTCGCGGAGTTCTCCCACCGCTGTCTGTACAATTCAAGTTGGCGCTGGAGATCGGAGAATGTTGTTCTTGGTGGTGCTTCGGCGGGGACGAGTTGCTCCGGTATTTCTTCCCTCTCGACATCATTGTCTTGGCCATTGCCGTTCACGCTTGTGTTCGGGTTCGGGGTTGATTGCCGGACTCGGCGCGCATGTTTGTTCGTTGTGACGTGTGTCCAGCCGGAGTCATCGGTGAGTTGTAGGCGCTTGTTTTGCGACGCCGATGGTTTTTTGCGGCGGGTGTGGGGCATGGTGGGTGTGATATGTTCCCGGAGGAGCGGCGAAGAAGGTGTGGTGTGGTGGGATTGAGGGGAGATTGCGCTAGGAACTGTTTCGAGATAGCGGATGCATGCTGGATGTGATGCGCGGGTGGCCCGGTGGAAGTTGCTAACTTGCTGGATGTGTGGTGGTTGCTTGACCGTGACAAGCTCGGGGCTCGGTGGGGATGACGGCTAGCGAGGGGCCGCCATTTGATAGTTGATACAGAGCATCCTCCATCGTTCATCGTTCATGCTGCTTTCTGATGAAGCAATTCCCATCGCGATATTCCAAGATTGCTGTTCACCCTCTACTGGACGCCAGGCCACTCACGCCCGCTCTGTAAGCGCCGGCCTGGTCTCCCCTGCTGCCCCCGATGCGGGCGCTTCCAGCAGGCTGCTCTCCACCAATCAGGGCCCGCAGTCGAGGCTTGAGGTGATGCGCGTGCATGCATCAACTCTTGGTCTCGCCCTCCGCAGCCAATCTCGCCTTGGATCTGCCTCTTCTCCCCAAGTCCTGCAGCCAATGATTTGATCGCCGTCCACCTGCCTGCAACCGACCAAGCAAACCTCCTTTGACCCCAAGGGCCAATGTCAATGGCCCCCCTGCTCTCGCCTGCAGGCCTGTCACATCGTGATCGTGCCTCTCACTCGTCCAGCGCTGACTGCAGCCCCCCGCTAGGACTGGCATCGGAGGCCCATCAGACAATGGCGGCGGTGCCTCAAAAGAGCGGCCAGCCCAGCCGTCTCACTTCCTCTGAACCTGTCTTGTCCTTCTCTGCTGTTCGAAGCTTGTTTCGTTTCGGATCGAGGATGATCTGTATTGCTCAAAGCGAGTGATCCTTTTCTCGTCTGGTTATTTTTAGGCAAGACAGAGAACAGTGTCGCGAGTGCCTCAGGGTCTGAGGGTTCATCAGGGCCAAACCTGTCGGCAATCCTCCAGTTCTCCTGCCGCTACATACTATCGCCATCATGAAACTCTCAACATCGCCGTCACAATGGCTTGCCACGGCCCTGCTGTGTATGGGCTTGGTGGATGCGCACACCGTTATTGTCTATCCTGGCTACCGAGGCAACAACCTTCACACTACCGGAAGTGTCGAGGGCACTGAAGGTCTTGGTGCTGCTTGGAGCAGCGACAACGACACCATGCTTTATCCATACGGAATGCAATGGGTCTATCCTTGTATGCTACCTCTCTCACACTCGTAACCTACTGGAAACCCGTTCTGACTTTTCAGGCGGCGGCATGCCCACATCAGAGAACCGAACGAAATGGCCTGTCCAAGGCGGCGCCGTATCCCTCCAACCAGGCTGGTTCCCAGGCCACGCCCGAGCACAGATCTATATCAACCTGGGCCTGGGGACGGTGCCCCCAAACATGAGCCATCCCATGATCACGCCCTTCGAGATCGTCGGCCCAGACAACGACCCTTACCCCGGCACCATCTGTCTTCCACAGGTCAAGCTGCCGGCGGGAATTGAGGTCAAGGCGGGCGATAATGCGACGATCCAGGTTATTGAGCTGGCTCAGCATGGAGCAGCTCTGTACAATGTATGTCTCTGGTTGTCTTTTTTCCCGGAATCAGAGCTAACCGAGTTTGCTAGTGTGCGGACATCACCTTCGCCGAACCTGAAGACGTGGCCGACGTCAATCAGACAAACTGCTTCAACTCGTCTCACATCTCGTTCGAGACATTATTCACCACCGCATCGCTAGAGAGTGCCGGGCTTGAAGTTATCACCGTGCCTTCCTTACTCACTACCGTCCTACCAACGTTCTTGACCATCGCGTACGGGCTTCTGATGGCGTAGATACACACCACCACGTCCTGTGCATTACGACTTGTCTAAATTTATATCTGCATTTACGTCCATTCATCCATACATACCCCACTGCCCAGTTGACTGGTCAACTGACAGTAACAAATTCGACGATGAACAAAACGAGTCCGCTTTTCTCTATCACTGGATAATATTTCGGCGTTGGGGATCCCACTTCACACAGCACATCCTGAACTGGACTGAATTGCAGCTGTTATATACCACTTATATGCGTTTTCGCTAGTGGAATCTGATAATATCATAATCCATACCACCTGTTGATTTATCCGCTCTAGTCAGCTTACAGTACTTCCCCGATATCTTGGAGTATATCCAACTCTGCTATTCCCTATCACAGTCCACTACGAAGTGCAACCTCCGTGGTTCTAATAATATCCCGCAATCATCTCCCTTCTCATCGCTGCTCCAAAGCCTCTACCACAAGTGCAAGCACCATCCATCAATCGACCGCCTTCCTCAACCTTCTGGCTCCTCTTGGGTATACTCCCCCATCTACCCCGCAATGACGAAGATGCACCTATTCCAATTATCACTCTGTCAATACGGCCATGGTCCATAGCATGTATCCATACAGAAATAGACCATGTGCCCACTTTAATGGACTGTGATAGTATATACTACTTAGGTCTACAGGGTAAGGGCCATATCCATAGCATGCAGAACCTGTTAAGACACGGGTATAGTCTACGCTGCGGATACCTGGGACCTGAGTAGATACGGAGAGTCCGATCATGCAGGACAGAAAGTATATATCTCAAATCCAACAAGCCACATGCAAGCTCTTCCTCCTTTGCACTTCCATTTACTCTACAGCCAGCATTCCCTTGTCCTCACACAGCAGTTTCTAATTCCAAGCGGCTAGTACGTGCCTCTATGCTCGAATCATACCTCTTAGTAAAACGGACAGGATCTGCTTCTGCGGACCAACTATGTGTCAATGATTAGGAAGGTCGGTTGGCTGTCTTTTCGAGACCCAGAGTCCAGACATGCTATTTGCACTGAGAGGGTACGTCTTGACTCCAGCAGCTTCGCACTTGGTAGAGACATCCGCTCTGTATCCGCATGAACAGTAGCCCGTTGTCGACTGGCAGGTGCTTCTGAGGACATAGGGAAGAGAACTACAAGAAGTCAAGAAAGTGCCAAGTTTGAAATGAAAATAGAGTATAATTATCACTAGAGCTAAGTATGTGCGTGTTCCGTATAAGGCGAAGACCTGTTCCTATACAATCCCAGTAGAGGTCCATGTTTTGGGCACGGGATCGGTGCAGACCAATGCCACTCAGCCCAGCCTTGAAAGACCTTGATCATCTTGCTTATTTTTTTCTTCTTCGATCTTTCCTGCTGTCAAGGCGGCTGAATCGCCTACGTCCCAGTGTGGGAAAACGAGAAAAATAGAGAACCTGGACCCTTCCCAACTCCGCGCTCGCTGGTTGTATGCCAAATTGCAATAGATGACCGACGACAAGGAACAAGGAAAAATGGAAAACGAGGGACGACGCCCAGATAGGGGTAATATGTCGCGTATTCTTATGAATATATGAACGACCCTCCCCCTAGTCGAGGAATAATGTGAGGGCCGGCATCATGTGCAAAGACAGTATCCTGCCGATGCCGATGCCGTAGTCGCAGCTCACCTGGGTGAATAAAGAGGAATGTCCTCATAAGTGATTCGGGTGTTTGCGGGACTGTTGATGTTGTTACAGCGCTAAGACCCGAGTTGGATCCTGGAGAAAGCGTCTACGGTATGCAACAATTTCTGAGGCCACGGTGTTGAAGTCTTTCACCTTATCGCGCCGCATGTCGTTGATGGCCCCTTTCAGTCCGGCGACGTATTTATCAGATTCTTCCGTTGTTTTGCCCTCCCTGAGGGAGCCCATCTGGATAAGGATTTTATCATCTGTCGAGGTTAATAACTCTGTGCGTCAGCATCCGCACGGTAGAAAAAGCAGATTCGCCAATTTAAAGGAAACGGTTCGGGCAGTGTAACGAAAAAGGACAAGGCAAGGATGGAAATTGACGTGGAGGAAACTGGGAAGATTGGCCTTGGTGGTATCAGAAGGTGCGAGCTTTCTGTCCAACCAGGAGTTGTGCAAATGGTGGTTCAGACATCGACGCACCGCTAAGAGCCATGTCCCGAAAATGTTGGAATTCGCAGGAACGGTCATTGCAGACACCCCCTGAAGTCTCATAGGGACAGAAATGCTTCAGAGGATCAATGTTATGGCTATAGGTTAGGGAGCGATAGCCGCCGGCAACATTGTCATTGTAGTTTGGGTGATATCGATACGCCTTGAACAGCTTGAGTGGGCTAGTGTAGGGTGTAAGTTTACGGTGTGAGTCTTCAGGGCGTCGTGTGTTCTGTGAGGCATGTCAGCGTTGAAACTTCCAGTGGCACCAGGGTCTATCGCACATCCAAAGGGCTTTGTGAATATTGGCTTGGCTGCTGGAAATCCAAGTCCTGGATTTTCTTGGTTAGTAGCTCACCAGCTTCTTGAGATTGATCCTCTGAAGACCCTGAGACCTCCATATGCGGGGCAGGACTATGAAAATCAGGGCTGGGTGCTGGGGAATAACTCGAATCAGAAGCATTAGCAGATTCTTCGGGTTCGGGAGGCTCATAGGCGTCTGAAACAGGGGATTCTCGAGAAGCAAGATTCTCGGAGTCTGCACCTAGGTCTTCATCGGTTGTGGGCTGGGTAGTGGGGGGTTGGTTTTCAGAGAGAGGTTCATCGTTAATCTCTGACTTCTCTGGCTCGTTCGGAAGTCCTGAAGAGATATTTGTTACCTCATCAACAGATGCAACTTGGTTCGCGTCGTAATTCGGCGCGTCAGGCATCTCCTCGTTCAATGAACCCGAGTCGCTGTCTGATTCATCCGAAGACTCGTCCATTGAAGAGCTGGAGTCATCAGACATGGAAGTATCTGTTAGCTCTTCGACGGGCGCGGCGGGGATCGCGGTATCTTCCGTGGTATTAGGGACATCCGATCGACCTTCAGTGGGTGGGGTCTTCGCAACCGCGGAGTCGGCGTGCGGAACTGGCGTGGTATCTCCTTGGGTTGGCGCGTCAGTCTCAGGTACATCGGGAACTGTCGTGATACGCTCATCTGCCACCTCATTGGCAGGGGCAGGAGCTATAGCGTGACTGTAAGTTGTTGTGATCGATTGTTGAAGTTCGGGGATCGATAATCTCCGAAGCATACCTTGAACAACTTCGACGGGGAATTCTTCCTTTGCTTCCATGTTAATCAGGGCCGCATTGACATCGTCAAGCGACATGACAGGGACCTCCGATTTAAGAGCATTAAGTTCGTCTAGAAGATGCTGTCGTCCGTCTTTGCCTTTGGCTAGCTCTGACGCCAGCTCCTCTAGTACTTTGCTTGCGTCGGCAAGTTTCAGTTCAGTCTTTTGTATTACAGCATCCAGCGAAGGAATGCCTGCCTCAATTTCCTGCATGCGTAAAATCTTGGATTTCATTTTCCTCATTCCATCAATGTCCATGGAAGCCAGGACTTTCTCCACGTTCTTGTTCGGGACAATTGGCAATGCTGGGAGCATTGATGGAGCGGGCATGCTAGCGATTTCGGGTGTTGACAAGTCCGAAGTTCGAGGGGATTGAGTACGACTGGCTAGCTTTGCCTTCTTTCTTTGCTCGAGTTCGGCGATCCTTCGGTGCATGGCTTGAATCTCAAGATCCTTCTTCCGCAAATCGTCCTGTTCACCGTTTCTATTATTATTATTATTAGGTGTTGAGGACGAGGAAATCCCGTAGCTCTGGGACGTGGCCGGGCGATGAGGAAGGCTTTCAGCCGCTGATAGATATGCTCGGTGCAATCCTTCTGCAGCCTGGATGCCAGAATTCTTTGAAAGGCCCGTTGACGTTGTGTCAATGTCCATGCTAACGTCGTCATCGTCGTAAAATTCATCGTCACTTATATCAATCACAAGTCGCTCGGGGGCGATCTGGTGATTTGTACCATTGCTGAATGTTCTTTTAGGGATGGGGATGGGATCGTCATCGAAGTCCGACGCGCGAGGACGTTTACGCTGGCTGGAGCGACTGTGGGTCGCTGACTCGAGGATTGGCTCTTGAACAGGGGTAGCGTTGACACCGTTTGTCGCTGGCAAAGTTTGCTCTGTCATGAATAAACCAGGAATATGGTCAAGAGAGGTAGACACCGGGAGGGGAGGGCGTTCCGGTAAAGGGTGTTGGACGATGGTGTTCTGCGGCTGCGGCGATTCCTGGACATTTGCCTGTTCTTTGTCTGAATCCGATTGCGACTTCTGGGGATTTCTCATGAGGCCCTGCTTTTTCAGCTGTTCAATACGTTGCCTTGCAAGTTCAGTTTGCGCCTTGTTCTTTTCCTTCAAGCGGTTTTCTTTTTCATTCGCCATTGGATCTTGCGCAGGAGTTGACGTCGTGGATTTTTCGGCTGTTGCAGGCGTACTTTGAGAAACGTCTGCCGTTTGTGTAGCAAATGGTGGCGGCGCGGAGGCTGGAGAGCTCTTAGCGGCTTTGGCGGCCAGCATTCGCGCGATGACCTCCTTTCTCTCCATAGGTTTTCTGGCACTGACTGGAGCAGATTTTGGTGGCGTGGAACTGGGCTCACTGGGTGTGAGCATTTGCCTAGCTGGTACTTGAGGTTCAACTTGCTGAGTCGGCTGCTTTGCGTCTCCGTTGGCGACGGATGGACTAGCACTCGAATAAACATCCTCGTTGGCAGCTGGCCTGGTATAGACATCAGATAACGGCGTAGTTGGGACCTTGATGCCAACCTCTTCATAGAGCTGCTTCAGTATTGTTGGATTGATGCCTTCGCTCACGAGCTCACTATAACGGATGCTATGCGGCGCCAAACTAAGCAGGGCTCCCTGTGCTTGTACTCGAAGTTGAGCAAGCGAAACAGCAGTTGAGGAAGATCGTTGGGATTCGGTAGAGGCGGGAGCTAGTTGTTCCACGGAGCCAAGTCCTTTACTAGTTGTTTTCATAGCATTCGGTGAAGATTTCGATATCGACGGTGATATGACGTTTGTTGGCAAGTGGGGATTGTAGGCTAAGCAGTGTTAGTGATGGGGGCGTAGCTATCCGAAAAGAAGGGGTGCAAATACGGGATCCGCTGGCTCTACTAGAGGCGCGAGGTTCGGGTGAAGCCTCGCCTTCTTCAAGTTCGGACAGCGACTCGCGGCGGCTCGTAGAGGCAATGGCGTCTCGCGCAGTCTTATCGTGGACCCCTTTCGGGCCGGTAAACTGAGATTGTCGCATCTGCGACCGATTTATCCCCGCGCCACCAGGTATATGGGACCTATGGCTGCTGGATTGGTTGTGTCGTAAATCTCGGGCGCTCGGTGACGAATGAGATTTTCCACCCATCGCAGGGCCTTCGATATCCGTCAATTCACCCTCTTCCCGGTCCAAATCCTGATTCGAATTTGTAGTTGACATCGGCTGGAGGTCTGGCGGTTTAGATTGTGTGGAACGATCTATTTCGTGCATTAACGGTTGGCTCTGAGGGAATTGCGCAGAGTTTGAAGGTAATGGCATCAAAGGATACCCCAAGTTTGGCATGTTCGCAAATGGGGGCGGCGCTGCTGCAGGAGGGAAAGTGCCAGGGAAAGCGAACGGCGGCGGCGGGAAAGTATTGGTTGCGCCTGCACCTCCGAGTCCCGGAAGGTTCGCATTCGCATAGAATGTATGAAGATTATAATACTGTTGCGTATCCGAGGAGGCATCCGGATTGAAGTGTAGGTTCTGGGGCATAGGGCCTAATGAAGGCGGTGGTTGCGGTGTCCATTGCTGCGTATAGTCGGCCCCCCAATACTGAGGCGCTGAGGGAATCGATTGATTCGACATGGTGAATATCGGCGCACTTTTGAGTCTAGATGAAGCGGCCAGCTGGCCAAGAGTATACTTGTAGTGAATGAATTAAGTGCGGAGCGTCTTCAGACATAGCAGACCACCTAAGAAGTCAAGTATTGGTGACACGGCGCGTCAAAGACGGGTCCTTCATCTAAGCCTTTTGCGATTGCTGGTCGAAGCCAACTGACTGTATAGATGATACACGAGCCTCTTACTATGAGCCTGAGTTCAAAGTGAGGACAATAGTTGATGAGAGAGCGGAGATGGATCGAGTGAACAAAGCAGACGGGGAACTGGAGAGCATCAAAAATGTGGACGGAGATCAAGTTTCGTGCCCCGATGCACGTGATATAGACAAGCCCAGATCGGGACTAGCGTTATCGGCGGAAAGTTGATGCCTGGCTGCCTGCGCTAGTCCAGCCTCGGGCCAGGGTAAACAAACCCTCTTCATACTCGTCATCGCTGAGCCTCAGCAAAGTGACGAGTAACCCGGACAACGGTGGGGAGCGGCCACTGCTTGCGCGCATTTCAGCCAACAGCTGAGCCAGGTTGCTAGGACCCATGATTGTCTTGACGCCTTGATGCCCTGTGCACCTGCGTCAGCTCTCTACCTTACTCGAACCCATCTCTTGTCAACAACCTGATCCCCTGCAACTCGTGCCTTTTGTGATTCGGATGCAGCGCTGAGCGGATCTCAGAGCTCATCCATCCAATTGATCCTACACTTTGTACTTGTTCCTGTCATTTGAACCTCTTGATCTAAATAATGAGCTATCAAGGATACCCACAGCAATAATGCTCCCCTCCCAGATCAATGGTTCGCCGAAGCGTGCCAATCCCTTTGGCCGCGCATCCCCCTCACCCTCACCATCCTCGAGCCCACAGACGAAAGCGCGCCCAAAATCAGCCGTTCTTGCATCCGTCGGGAAGTTCGAGGAGCCAAAAAGCCACACTCGAAACTCATCATCCATTTCTCACTCTTCACTGGCGCCCTTTGCCCGGAATGCAAGCCGCCAAAGGTCAAATTCTCTGCGACACGATGTCGCTTCCGGTACATTCGCGCCGGACTTCATCAAATCCGAGGATTTGCGTCGAGGTGCGGACCAGATTCGAGGACAGGAAGGTGACAATGACTTCTCGGGAAACAAATACGTCTGGTTACGTGATCCGGAGAAGGCATTTGTCAAAGGGCTTGTCTTAGAGGAACAAGATGGAGGCCGGTTACTGGTGCAAACTGATGATGGCCAGGTATGAGCAACCGATCTCAAAGCCATAGACATACTCACATGCTAGAAGCAACGGGAAGTGGACGCCGACCAAGTTGACAGAGTCAACCCAGCGAAGTTCGACAAAGCGGACGATATGGCTGAACTTACACACCTGAACGAGGCCTCTGTAGTACATAACCTCCACACTCGTTACCAGGCAGATCTCATATATGTAAGGCTCTTACCTTCATTGCGCGTGATGCCACGGGCTGACAGACAATACGCTCTTAGACCTACTCTGGACTTTTCTTGGTGACTGTCAACCCATACTGCCCACTGCCTATTTACTCCAATGAGTACATCAATATGTACAAGGGACAGAGTCGAGAGGAAACTCGACCACACATTTTCGCCATGGCCGATGAAGCGTTCCGGAACCTGGTGGAAGAGGGCGAAAACCAGAGTATTCTTGTAACGTGAGTCTTTGCGGCATTTATTATCATGACGAAAGAAAGAAATCTAATGGCTACATATAGAGGAGAATCCGGAGCAGGCAAAACGGAAAATACGAAGAAGGTTATTCAATACCTTGCGGCCGTTGCAACTTCAGATAATATGTACTCCCGCTCCGGGAGCAAGCAGATGAACACCCTTTCGCAGCAGATTCTGAGGGCCAACCCAATTCTCGAGGCCTTTGGTAATTCACAAACTGTCAGAAACAACAACTCATCTCGTTTCGGCAAGTTCATTCGAATCGAGTTCTCTCGATCTGGTCAGATCTCTGGCGCTTCGATTGATTGGTACCTTCTGGAGAAGTCACGAGTGGTGAAGCCCAACTTGCAGGAGAGGAACTACCACATTTTTTACCAGCTACTTAGGGGTGCAGAGCCCGAACTGAGGCGGAAGCTGCTTCTCTCAAACTTGCAGATTGAGGACTTTGCTTACACCAAGGACGGGAATGACACGATTGCCGGCGTTTCGGATGAACAAGAATGGGACTCTTTGCTGGAGGCGTTCCATATCATGAATTTCTCGGAAGAGGATCAAATGTGTATCCTTCGCACAGTCGCCGCTGTCCTCCATCTAGGAAATATCACCATCATGAAAGAAAGTCTACGGGCTGATCAAGCCGCCCTTGGTCGCGACGCGCTTGACAGTGTCCACAAAGCTTGTCAGCTTTTGGGCATCGAGACTGAACCCTTTGTCAAGGGACTATTGCATCCAAAGGTTAAAGCCGGCCGAGAGTGGGTGGAGAAGGTGCAGACTCCTGAACAGGTACGGCTAGCATTGGACGCTTTAGCCAAGGGTATTTATGAGAGAGGATTTGGTGACCTCGTCAACCGCATCAACAGCCGACTGGACCGAAACACTGTCACGGGCGAGGAGAGCTATTTTATTGGCGTCCTCGATATCGCTGGTTTCGAGATCTTCCAACACAACAGCTTTGAGCAACTCTGCATCAACTACACGAATGAAAAGCTGCAACAGTTCTTCAACCACCACATGTTTGTTCTGGAGCAGGAGGAATATGCACGCGAACAGATTGAATGGCAGTTCATCGATTTCGGTAAAGACTTGCAGCCAACAATCGACCTCATTGAAGTCACAAATCCCATTGGTATCTTTTCTTGCTTGGATGAGGACTGTGTCATGCCTAAAGCCACAGACAAATCGTTCACCGAGAAGCTCCATTCACTGTGGGATACGAAGTCCGCGAAGTATCGAGCATCTCGCCTCCGTCAAGGCTTTGTCCTTACCCACTATGCAGCTGAGGTGGAATATTCCACTGATGGATGGCTGGAGAAAAATAAGGACCCCTTGAATGATAATATAACCAGACTACTTGCATCTTCTCAGGATCGGCATATTGTCGATCTCTTCTCAGATTGCGGAAACAGCGACGAGGTCGATCAACCCAGAAGTCGCGTGAAGAAAGGCCTGTTCCGTACAGTCGCCCAGAGACATAAGGAACAGTTGTCGAGTCTGATGAATCAGCTTCACTCAACTCACCCTCACTTCGTTCGGTGCATTATACCAAACCATAAGAAACGCCCAAAGATGCTGAATGCCCCATTGGTACTTGACCAACTGCGCTGCAACGGTGTTCTCGAGGGTATCAGAATTGCTCGTACAGGCTTTCCCAATCGATTGTCCTTCAATGAATTCCGCCAACGTTATGAGGTACTCTGTCGGGATATGCCCAAGGGCTACATGGATGGCCAGTCCGCCGCCCGAATAATGCTTCAGAAGCTGGCTCTAGATAAAGCATGGTTCAGAGTCGGTCGCACCAAAGTGTTCTTCCGAGCTGGCGTCCTGGCAGAATTGGAGGAAAAGCGTGACGAGCTCATCCGTACCATTATGACACGATTTCAGTCTGTGGCGAGAGGATTCGTGCAGCGCCGAATCTCCAACAAAAGGTTATATCGTGCGGAAGCAACACGCATCATTCAGCACAACTTCCAAGCCTATTTGCAAATGAAGTCAAACCCTTGGTGGCGTTTATTCTCAAGAATGAAACCGCTTCTTGGGGAGACGCGCACTGCCCACGAGGTGAAGAGAAGGGACGATAAGATCAAACAGTTAGAGACAAGAATGAAGCAGGACCAGTCGGAACGCCAAAAAGTCGAGGAAGAAAGACGTCGGGCAGAGATAGAGATACAGAAGATCCAGCAGACCCTAGAGAGCGAGCGAGCATTGGCTCTCGACAAGGAAGAGATTTTTAGGAGACTGCAAGTTCGCGAGGTAGAACTCAGCGATAAGCTAGCAGGAGCCATCGCTGATCAAGAAAACCTCGAAGATCAACTTGACGAATTAATCTTGGCAAAGAAGAAGACAGAGGAGGAGCTGGACTTGCGCAAGACGCAGCTCGAGCAGGCCGGCGAAATCATCCAGCGCCTAGAGGCAGAGAGGAAGGAGATGCAGCACAAGTTAGAAGAGTTGGAGCAGAAGCTTCTTGAAGCACAGAACAATGCGTCCGTGACTGAGAATCATATGAACGAGCTTGGCCAAGAGGTCAAAATGCTGCAAAGCCACCTCAGTCTGAAAGATCGAAAATTACAGGATCTAGAAGCGAAATTGCTGAAGACCGACCAGGATCTTGATATCAAGCTGGCAAAAACAACAAGAGAATTGGACCGGTCAAAGAAGGAAGTCAAAGACCTTCTCGAGGAAAACCGTACCATAAGGCAGCAGATCTCTGATCTCTCAAATACGTCTACCAGTTACGAAGAAATGCTCCGGCGCAAGGAAAGCGAGCTTACAGTTTTACGCAACGATGCCAAAAAGCATGCCGAGGAGAAGCAACAGTTGGACCTTGAAAAGTCCAACCTTTCAACACGGCATGATAACATGCAAAATAAGCTTCGTGAGCTCCAAGCTCAAGTTGACGCAATGAAATCAGAAAAGATACAACTCGAGCGTGAAGCTGCCGACGTTCAGAAGCTTCTGCAGGCGAAGATGTCTGAAGATGCCGAGGCCGGGGAAAGCCGCAAGCTTCTTGAGCAGCAGACCCAGGACCTGAAAAATCAACTATTCCAGGCACAGGCTGAGCTTAGTAGGGAGCGGCAGTCGAGGGATGATGTCCAGATGCTTGCTGAGCATAACCTGGCGGAGCTCAAAGACAAATTCGAATCTCTAAATGAGGCAAAGATCACCATCGAGAAGGAGATGTACATCCAACAAGACAGCCTTCGACGGGCTACGGAAGCTCGCGTTGCCGCTGAACAGTCGCGAAAAGAGCTCCAGACAGAATTGATCAAGCTTCGCGATCGATTTACTAGTGCTGAAGATGCTCGCCTGAGAGCCGAGGCTGAAATGGAGCAAACGCTTGTAAAACAAAGCACCCAGCGCCTCGAGAGCATCAGGAAAGAGCTTGACGATACCATGCACCGCCTGGAGGAGGTGGAAGCGGAGAGGTTGCGTCTTGCAGCACGAGAACAGCAACTCATGAACGCTATCGCCGAGTCTGAGAACTTCCGTATCCGTCATGATCAGCATAAGGAGCGCTTAGAGAGGGAGCTGGTCACTCTCAAGGGCCGACTGACTGCATCTGAAAATGACAACCGCGCTCTGTTGACCAAGATCCAGCAGAAGAACCTTGACATCGCCAGGTCCAACTCAAAGGCAAGTGAAAGCCAACGCTTACGTGTCGCAACTCTCCAGAAGGAGAAGACCAAGCTTGAGGAAGATAACAAGGCCCTTTCCCGACAACTAGGCGACCAGCAACTCTCCATCACGTCGTTGGAAAAGCAAAAAGAGAAGCTTTCTTTGAGTGTGGAAGATCTAAACCACGAAGTGAACAGAGAACACAAAGCTAGCCGCAATGCTGAAAAGGCTGCCTCTACAGCATCTATCCAACTGGCAGAAGCGAACCGGAACTTGGAAACTGAGAGGCAACTCAGGGCCCAGGCGCAGGCCAATACGCGAAAGCTGCAAACCTCATTGGATTCCTCAAATAAAGAAATTGAAGACCTGCACCGCCAGCTAATACTACTCCATAAGATCGTTGAGCCTGAGGCCGATCCTTCCGCTGATTCCTGGGAGAAGATCCAGCCAGATCTGTCCAAGAAGGTCGACCTAGCTCAGCTGGTAGAGACCATGCAAAGCCAACTGCAAGTTTCTGAGGAGAAGTATAACCGAGCTGAGGCTCAACTTGCAGAGATGCGCCGTCGACATGGAGAAGAGATGAAGGACCTCGATGCCCGTTACTCTTCTTCCAAACGCGCATTGTTGGAAGAAATCGATCAGAACGAAGTGGCTAATCGAACTCCTAACCACCTCCGTAAGAACTCTGACATTGCGAAGAAGTTCGGAGCGCCAACAACACCCAATCGCCGACTGAACCTCAACGACAACTCGAATGACTCGGCGCGGTCCGACAGAACTGTGGACACTGTCGGCTATCAGAAACGCATGGACCTCGCAGCTGAGATTGAGGAACTTCAAAACAAACTCCAGATGAGCGAGATGCAGGTCAAGCACCTGCAGGACCAACTCGGCCGATCTGTTCCTCCCAGGGACATATGGCAAGATGACAGCCCATCAGTCAGACGCATGCAGCTTCTGGAGCGAGAGAATGGTCGACTGCACGAGCAACTCGATGATTCGTCAAAAAAAGTATCAGCCCTTGAAAGAAGCATCCAGTCCGGAGAACTGTCGCTACGGGATGTTCAGGCTAAATCTCATGAAGAACTGTACGAGCTCATCAACTCTCAGGAGCAGTCTAGGAGGTCCTTGCTTAGGGTTCACAATGAGACTGTGGCCGAGATTACTGATGCTAAAGCACAGTTTGAGAAGCTTAAGCGAGCAAAGGCAGCCCTCGAGGTTGAACTTCGGGATGCATGCTCAGAGGCGCAAGAATTGCAGGTGGCCAGAGAACAGGATGCTTTGAGCAGGAACCAGCTCCTACAGGAATTTTCTGATCTGCAAATCCGTCTTGACGCCGAAACTTCCAAGTCAGCCGACCTTGCCGCGAGCCTGAGCCTGTACAAGAGTCGTGCGGATGAGTATTTCAGCAAGCTCGAGCAAGCAGAAATTACGCTTCTCAAGGCTTCTCGTGCAGAGCAATTTGCCAAAGCTCAGGCTAAGGAGACCGAGGACAGCTGTGCGCAAATCATGGCGGAGCGCAAAGAGATGGAGGCCATGATTGACGACTTGCAGCGGCAGACGCAGTCTTTCGAAGCTAGAATGGAAGACCAGGCGGCTGAGCTGGACGCTGCTCTCCAAGCCAAGCAACGTCTCCAGAACGAGCTCGAGGACTACAGGAATCAGCGTGCCATCGATATTGAGGACAAGGAGACTTCTATGGAACAGACGAGACAGAAGTACCAAAGGGAGATCACCACGCTCAACAACGAGCTTGAAATGGAACGTGAAAAGGTGCTCAACGGCCGAGGAGAGAGCTCTCGCCTCCGTGAAGAGCTCGAAGACCTTCGCAGCAAATGGGATAATGAAGTGTTGAATAGCTCAACCTGGGCCAAGGAGAAATCACGCATGGAGGTCATGCTTCAGGATGTGACTACTTCCCGTGACGAAGCGGTCAATGCTCACAACGAGGCGCAATCCAGAGTTGTTTCGCTCTTATCGGAGGTCCGAAGCCTGAGAACTTCTGTTGATGACGTGACTGCGGAACGTGACATGGTGCTCAAGGAGAAGAAGATGCTAGAAGCACGATTGACAGAAGCTGGCGAGCGCCTAGAGGACCTGGCGAAGGGTGAAAGCCCGTCCATGCGCAACGCTGCCAGTATGGATCGTGAGATGTTGGAGCTCAAGGCGAAGCTTGCTCAACAGGAAGACCTTTCTCTCGCAGCTGTCGGGAAGATGAGACGGGCCGAAGCTCTTGCGATTGAGATGCAGAAGGAGGTGACTGCTGAGCGAGAGGCGACTGCACAGCTCTTCAAGGACAAGGCCGCCTTGGAGAAACAGCTGAAGGAGTCGCAATTGCGATGCGTTGACTTGGAGACGAAGAGCTACTCCTCCGGTAGCCAAGATATCAGGTTCCTTCACAAGAGAATCAAGGAGGTAAGAGGCGAAACCTAACAGCCACCAATCTTTGCGATTACTAACAATATCTTAGCTGGAAACCCACCTGGAGGAACAAGAAGCCAAGAACAGCTCAGAGCAGCGTTCGTTACGAAACGTTGATCGCACGGTCAAGGATTTGCAATCCCAAATTGAGCGACGCGAGAAGATGAATACTCAGCTAGAAGATGAGGTGAACAGGGGCCGTGAGAAGGTTGAGCGACTCCTGAAGAACATCGACGAACTCCAACAGAGCGAGTCTGATTCGCAACTCCAAGCCCGCCGAGCCGAACGGGAGCTCCGTGAGGAGCGCGAGAAGTCGTTGAGACTGGAGCGTGAGCTCAACGGCTGGAAAGCCCTCAGGGTAGAAAGAGGAGGCAGTGCCATAGCAAGGAGCCATGCCGCTTTTAGTGATGCTGGGAGCCGCAAGGGAAGCGGCGCTTATACCACCAGCGACCTGCATCGAATGCCTAGCAACACCAAAGGTTTCCTTTGAGCAAATGCCGCTCAACAAACCCCTACTCAAGCGCAAGGAGGAGGAACTTGCGCTGTTCCTGCATGAAATTTACGAGTATAATCATGGTCATGCCGCATGTTTATGATGTATTGGTGACCGAGCGTGTTTTGTTTCTACTTGCTCTTATGTATTATGTGTATATGCGTTTTGGATCTTATGACGATTCTGCTTATGAGTTGGAGGCTCGTTGTTGGAGGACTCAGGCGTATACCACAGATGATTGTTCAATCATATTTTTTTGCAAATATATATTATGACCACACTCACCACCTATCTTCCATGTAGATGCTCCAACTTCAACCAAAAACATAAACGCTCTGCCGACCTCGCAGACTACTCTATGAAGTTGATTTAGTGGTTCAACGTAATGAATTTACTTGAAAATAAAACGCTCTTTATACACGTATAGTACTACAGTGCCTACATCGGAGCCGCGCGGCTAATAGGTAGAAGCGCGGAGACGTTGACCCACCCGAGCTTAGAATCAAGTTCACTCACTTTGGGCAGAACAGACGGCCTCTCCCAACACCCTCTCAACAAGGGACCCAGCATAAACCGCATTTTCTTGTACACGCCTCCAAAATGGTACGTCAAACCCCGCGAAATGACACCCGACCGAGCTCTCCCCGGCCCTCGAAGCTTCTTTCAAGAAATCAGCAAAACAGAACAAAAATGCTAACGATCAACCCTAGGCACGTAACAGCGAAAAAGCCCAGTCGATGCTCTTCCGCTTCCGCGCCCAACAAGCAGCGGACCTCGGAATCATCGACATCGGCCGCACGCGACGCCCCAAAGCCATCACATCCGTTGACTCGATCCCCGCATGCGAAAAATGGCGCGGCCAAGTCCTAAAGGAAATCTCGCGCAAGGTGTCCCGAATCCAAGAATCCAGCCTCTCAGACCACCAGATCCGCGACCTGAACGACGAAATCAACAAGCTCATGCGCGAGAAGTGGGCGTGGGAAATGCAGATCCGCAATATGGGCGGGCCGAACTATATGCGTGGTTCCGGGCGTGTTTATGATGATGAGGGGCGCGAGATACCTGGTGGCGGGAAGGGGTACCGCTATTTTGGGCGTGCGAGGGAGTTACCTGGTGTTAAGGAAATGCTGGAGGCGGCGGCGAGACGCGGGAGGGGGCCTGCGGAGGAAGACGATGAAGAGGGCAAGCCTGGAAGGGGCGGAGATATTGCGACGAAGAAGGTTGATGCGAACTACTTCGGCTACGGGCTTGATGAGGAGGACGGGACGTTGCTGGCTTATGAGATGCAGAGGGAGAGGGAGGCGGCCGAGAAGTTACGGAAAAAGGGCGAGGCTGAGGATGATGTTGAAGATGGTTGGGAGCCGCTGCCTGGCGATGCTGGGGACGGGGTTGAGTGGCGGTTGCCGACGCTGGAGGAGGTGCAGGAGGAGCTTGTGGATAGGAGGAGACGGCGACTTCTGGAGAAGATCTCATGAAGTATCTCCCACGGCTCTATTGCATGCCATCTGTTGCTCTCGTTTGTTTGGCTTTCTTTCATGTTTCGGCGTACCTCGGTGCATTTCGAATTGATATTTTGTTGACAAGGTCGATTTTTTTTTGACTGTTTGAGATCCTATCTGGTATATGCTGCTAGCGGGGTATATTATATTACATGTACATAGACGCTAATCTTGTTTATCCGAAGGTTCTACTGGCGGGCGCTTCGCCCTTCTCTCTTCTTTCAGGGCTTGCGTGATACTCATGCTAACCTTGTCCTCAATGCCAGCTTCTCTCCGACGCTCCTCTTCTTGTATGTCGTCTAATACGAACCTACCGAGTCCACCGCCGCGCCATTTCTGGATAAAATGTAACGCAGCAAGATCGAGATTCGGTATCCCTCCCTTAGCAAGCAAACCCGTATTATGTGCAAAACTATCCAGGAGCGGCTGAATCTCATTCGTCGGAGCCGACCACCGCTGATATACGCTTGGATCATGCAGATTAATGTGGTAAAGCAGATAGTCTGCCAGCGTAACCGGCGAAATCACCGAGTCCTTGACACAGCCACAAAGCGCCAGCTTCAGCATGTTCTCCGCGTCCGGCACATAGGGCATGAATACACCGGGCGTATCCAGCACATACACATGGGCACCATTCTCCTTCTCTATGATCTTGACGGGTGTCCCGATCTTTCGCGTGATACCCGGCTGGTCGCCCGTGTGCACGGCTTTCGCCTTCCCCACGCCGCGGTTGCGCAGGCAATTGATTAGTGTTGATTTCCCAACATTGGGCATTCCGACGACTATCACGCGACAGCCGACGAGCTTGTCGGGTCCATTGGCGTCGTTGCGCAGATGCGCCAGGAGCGTGCTCACATTCGGGTGGTTAGTTGACGGAGATGCATGGCGTGTGTTGACGAAGAAGACGGGCGTGCCGCGGTTAAAACTCCGGATCTTTTTCTCGAGCTAAGCGTGCAACATATCAGTGGGTAGTCCAGTAGTTCATGGGTTATCGATCCACTTACAGCCTTCTGTTCCCGTGGATCGCCTTGCGATGCCAGGTCTTTCTTCGTGTATACAACGAGCCGTCTAATCTTCCCCAGGGCTTCCTCAAACATGGGATTCACTGAGGTAAACGGGACCCGGTTGTCTCTGCACTCGATCACATAGTCGATCGATGAGAGCATGTTCCGCATCTTGTTCAACCCAGCCCTATGGTGGCCGAGGAAATAGGACCGCGGGATTGAGGCATAGTTGGGAAATGCCTGGCGCGGCACAAAGGTGGCCGCCATTATGGGGGAATTGGCAGATGAGAGGTTGAAAAGAGTGCCACCATGGACCGCATATTGATCGTGGAGATACGTCTTGCCCGCGGAGCTTGGAATATTCTGCCGGATATTGACAGCGGTGAGGAAAGCGGTACAGCGATTTCCTTGGCAGTATTTGTAGCCCTAGTCATATGGCTGGATTGACATCTTTTTCGAAAAAGATCGAGACGCTCTTGAAGATCTATATAATGAGATACTAGTACAGATTAGGGGTATAATATGGCCAATGCACCGTAGTACGCCTTCCATCTGCGCTTATGAACGACTTAAGGTTTGGAAGTCGGCTACGCTCGCCATCCCTGCACAAAATCATGGAGACGATCAATCACCACACCAAAGATGGCGTTTGCACTGTCACCAATGAGCTGTTCAAAGTGGCGGATAGCTTCCTCTTCAGTCATTTCGAGATGGAATCTTTCCTTCACTTTCAGAACAGCCTTATCGGGCTCTACACGGATGTCTGGAATATTGGCGTCGACCATCAAACTGAAAAGGTTCAGAATGAGGTTCGCCGACTTTCGCAGAGTCGTGTACGCCGTGAAGCAGTATTGCTTGAACTGAAGATATAGCGGCGAGGAAGTCCCGCCCATCCCCTCCACCATTTCCTTGCAGAGTTTCATCATTGGCGCAAACGGCTTGGGATCACGGCCAAGGATAAAGCCAAAATCTGCGTGGAAGAAGTGTCCGTCTGGTGCAAGGAGAAGGTTCTCAAGATGCCTGTCACCGACGCCGAGGAGGTATGTGATTACGCAGTAGCCGGCACAAGATTTGATGTAGGTATCCATAGTTTCCTTGCGGACGCCGAGTGGCTCGGCATCGTCCGGATTGTTAGCTTTGAGGTAGGCAAGGACGGTCTTGTATTTGGCGGAGACGGCAGAGAGTGAGGTTGAAGGAATGAATTGCATTGCGCCTGCTGTGGCGTTGGTGGCCAGAATGCGGTATGGGGTGAGTTTGAGGTCGAGATTTTCCTTCTGAAGGAGACGGTCCATTAGGATTATGATCTGGATGACGAGCTGATCTTGACGCAGGTCATCGCCGACCTTGAATAAAATCGGGTATTTTCGTCCTTCAGTTGTTTTGAATGTGAGGAGAAGAGGAGACAGCGACGACTTAAACACGTTAGATTCTTCTGGGTAGCAGCCTGTAACCATCACATCCGGGTCCAATGGAAGAGGGAGCGGCGGATCGAACTGAAGGAGATCGTTCTTTGGATCCTTGAGATACTTCTTCAGCCTTTCGATCTTGATAGGCCGGTTTTCTCGGGCGAAACGAATATCCTTGGAGATTTTTGAGAGGACAGCAACAAGCTCACCCTGGCGCAAAAGGGTTTTCCTGTGTTCTGGATGTAATTGTTCTAGCTCTGCCATGAAGTAGTATTCCACCCGGGCGAACAGCCGACGGTGAGAGGACAGCGTCCCTGGACCGGCATCATCACATTCTACCATGAGATACCAGTGTAAATAACTGCCCAATTTGAAGTTGTTAGCTGCGCGGGTGATGAGAAAGTTCGCCAGCGAGGAGTCGTGAGCAGCTATGTCCGCGTCTTCCTGTGACTTGTCTTCGTACTTGAGCGCTTGCACGAGTTGTAAAAGATACAACAGCAGCTCATCGTCATCTGCCTTGCGGAGCCGTTCGACAGCGTACGAACGAACCGCAGCATTGTCAAACGTTGGTCCAAGGAGCTCTAGAGCGTCATCAACGTCAATATCTGTCCATTTTGGTAGGATTTCGACAGCCTGATGTGCTTCGCCAACGTCCCGCCAATTGACCGATTTGACAAACTTGGTCAAAGCTTTCTTCTCTCGAGTAAGGTAATATCTAAATCGCCAAACGAGATCCTTTTCTTCTGCGGTAAGGTCTTGTGTAGGTTCATAAGACATAATGGTATTAAGATCGTCGCGGATTTTAGGGTTAGGCTTGAGGTCGCGGTCCATAATGCCGGTGCGATGGCTACGAATGAGCCGGCGATGTTTGTCTTCACAAGGGTTGCCTGTTTGGCCAACCTCGGGGTCATAAATTCTGATGACCCCTTCGCCATCGGCACCTTCGATCCCCGGTCCAAAACGGACCTCTGGCAGACTCTTCAAAGTACCATTTGCGTTTCCAGGCCCATTTTGAGAATACGAAGAGATGGGGGGCGGTGGATATTCGTGGTCGGACCACACAATAGGATGGTCGAATCGTGGAAACTCAACATATAGAGTAAAGTTTTCGTCATCGTATTCCTCTTCGTCCTCGTCCTCGTCGCCATCTGGGCGTCGGTTTCTATTGGCCTCCATGATAATAGCACGTTTCCTCGCAGCTGTATCGGCGCTCAGCTTTAGCCTCTCCAACTGGCGGAAAACCAGTTGGTCCATCCAGTCAATTTGCGGGATTTCCTCCATCTCATGTTTCTTGATCAAGACTTCTACCCTCTCCAGCTCCAACTCTTCTTGAGAAGGGCCGAGTTGATCAGGCTTGTTGCCCCGTCGGCGTTTCGGTGGGCTCGACGGTGTCGTGGTTGCTGAGAACCCGTCGGCAGCCTTGTGCCGGTAGACTTTACACTTTTGCTTTCCGGTCTTCAATTTCCCATCATCATCAAACAGCCGTATCGTCGTTCCGCCGAACGGTATGTAATGGCCATCCGCGCCATCCCCACCAAATGGCGATAGGTCCCATATCGTGATAGCGAGTTGACATTTTAGCGGGGCGTCTTTGATTGACATCGGCAGCTGCAGCCACTCATTCCAGGCTCTAGCAGTTTTGAATGCCTTGTATGACGTCTGCAGAGGCACCCCTAGGGGCTTGGATTCCGACCATAATTGCGCCGTCGCAAATAGATCGGATACGGGGTTTTGTACGGACCCAATATGTCGCAATTCAGGTTTCTTCAAAAGGACCGAGAGCGGAATTTGCTTCTGCTTTCCTTCTAGTGAACCACTGTATGTAATGTTAGTCTGGCGTTCTTCACATGCTCTAGATGTCCTTCATTAGGCATACATCTTGACATGGATTGGGAAGTCCACCTGGGTGGAAACCGCAAAAGTGAAGGCCTCCATCCTGGACCGGGGGCATCACTGTCCGATTGTTTTATCGCATGATTGAGCGTAGTTGATGTGTCGATGTGATAATGCCGGTGTAATGAGGGATGAGCTCCGATTGGAGATGACGCGGGGACAGGGGACATCACGTGCCGACCTATTTAATGGACGCGTCCAGACGCGGGCTCAACTTCCACCATTAATTTGTGGTTCAAGTGAAAGAAATACACTGGCGTGATTTCTGGTTCTGATATTTGATTGTTTCTCTCGTTATATCGCTTTGTTGACGCCTATTCTAGGCCCTTCTTTCATTGATCAATATAACACACCTGCGACAGTCGCGCCTTGTCAAAGAAAATCAGCCTCGCGAGTATGGCGCGTAACCCCCAAGTCCGCCCAACGTCCCCTCGCCCACTGCCAGGGTCGCCCTCTGATAAGGAGAATCTGGCAACACCTTCCAGCAACAAACGCCAAAGTCAGAGCCAAAATATGTCTTCCGTGAGGAACAGCGCGAAACGGCAACGCCTCGGCGACAGATCCTCTAATATCGAAGCTGGAACCCAGCTCTCACAGGCACAATTGGAAGCCAGCACAAAATACTACGATCCAGATCAGGATGCGGGCCAAAGGAGGCGGGTGCGCAAGGAGTTCAGAGATCTCACACGGGATGTGAATGGTAAATACCCCGCTGCTGCTCACGTTGAGCCCATGTTGACGATGATCGCGCAGATAATAAGAATGAATTACTACAGCCAGGAAATACTGGTCTCAAAGACACTTTCCTCAAAGCGAATGAGTTATTCCAAGACGTCAAACAAACCTCGGACGCGACGATCGACTCTCGGCTTCTGGTCACCGTAGCGGATTTGTCGTACAAAAAGACTGCCACGCTGGTACTGGGCGACAACAGCGCGGGGATTGATGTTGACGAATTCGTGTCGAAGTGTATCTCGTTTATGCGCGCCGGTCCCGAAGATCCGAATGCTTCCGTCATCACTAGCACACAACGCCGCCGTGCTCCGCGAAGAACACAGGCAGACCTGGACAGTGACGATGAGGATGGAGACGGGATGAACTGGGATTGGCTTGGACGTGCTGCTTGTTTCCGTCATAGTTCCCGGCCTGCGGTGTCGGGATTTCTCCTCGGCCCGCTCTCAGTGCAGAAGCGTACCCGCCAGATCGCACAGCGACGAGCGCGAGAACCAATCGACCCGTCTCAGGCGGTTCGGCCGCAAGAGCTCCGAGAGGAAGACCTGGACAAGCGTGAAACAACTAACCTCACAGCTATGTGCACCAGCATAAACAAGCTGTTGGGGAAAACGCAAAGCCATGGCGAAAAGCTTGCTACAGAAGCCATGCAGGCCCTTGGCGAACCATCGCCCGAGGAACACGCAGATATATGTGCTCAGTATAATATCGCTAGAGACGCCGGCGTGCCATTAGCAAAGTTCTGCATCAATCCGAGATCTTTCGGTCAGTCGGTGGAAAACCTGTTCTATCTCAGTTTCCTGGTCAGAGACGGCACTGTCGGGATCAGCACCGATGATGACGGTGTGCCCACATTGCGTATGTCCCTGAATTATCTCTGATTTAATGATAGTTCTCTAACTTTGAATACTAGATCCTACCAGGCCCATGGCCCCAGCTCAAGCTCAACAACGAGGTGCGCAAAAGCACCAGTCCGTGTTCAGTCTCGACTTCGATATGTGGCGGGACATGATTGAAGCGTACAACATTGAAAGCTGCATAATACCCCATCGTGAAGAAGAGGAAAACGACACAGCACAAGGATGGTATAGTTAAATTCGCAGGTTCTTTTCCACTCTGAGCTTCCCGGTGCGAAGGCGTTTAAGGCGGGACGGTCGAGGGACATGATATACCCTTTCATTGGAATAAGCTTTGCTTCATAGTTCTTGTTGTGATTTAGCTAGCCTTCTTTTATCCTTTTATGTTCATTTTATCGTTACCCGATTGCATATACTATTAAACTATTTCTGTCGCCCGCTATGCCCCACCTCTACTACTCCACCATCATGCCATGTGTTCCGCCGAAGTGTCACAAGCCATTGACGTCAGCAAATCAGCAACACCTCAAGCTCAGGGTCCAGCCCAGCCTTCCAGACGGAGAATTTGTCATCTTCCAGAACACGTCCAGGTTATCATAAGCAAACTTGCGATATCTGTTGGTCGCCATCTGAATCTGTGACTATTGCGACTTGACTTCGGGTCACGTATAAGACTCGACCCTTGTAAAAAACATCATTACGTTCGATTTGCCTGTGCATCTGTCATCCAAGCTGTTCTGGCAACAGAAAGAGAGACACTACCATGGCGCCCCAACTCTTTCCCTCAAACCCGGACGATGTTATGGTCATCCGAAATGTCACCTCGAATGTCATAACCATGAGTTTACCCTTTGCGCGATTTGGACGCTTCAAATTCGGTGGACGAGGAACACTTGGTTAGCTGAACTTCTTTACTCAAGACTTATCCCAACTCACGCAATCAACAGTTCGGATGTCCTCCGGCTCCATCGCTGTCTTCTCTCCAGTCAACCTTACACCAGCAGTCCGAGAAACGATATCCGGTCTTGGCGGACGCGTCAAGTACATCGCAGCCCTTGACCTCGAACACCACATCCACCTATCGACATGGAAAAACGCCTTCCCGGAAGCAGAGATCATCGCCCCCGAAGGCCTCTGGGAGAAGCGGCAATCCGTGCCTGAGTACAAGGATACACCAATCACGCATATCCTGCGCCAATCCAACTACAACGGAGAACAAGGATGGCCTATATCTGATGAATTCAACAGGGAGTTTGAGATCGAGTATGTATACGGCCATGGTTCCAAGGAAGTTGTGTTCTTGCATAAGCCCTCGTGCACGCTCATCGAGGCGGACTTGATGTTCAACTTGCCGGCGCGCGAGCAGTACTCGAAGACTGGGGAGAGTGCTACCTCTGGGATTCTGACGAAGATTGTGAAGCCACTATTGTCGACTGCGCAGCCGGCGACATGGCAGAAGAGGTTTGCGTGGTATGTGCTCGCAAAGGATAGAAATGCGTTCGCGGAGAGTATCAAGAGGATCGATAAGTGGGAGTTCAATCGGTTGATTCCCTGCCATGGCGATGTCATAGAGAGTGGTGCGAAGGGCGTGTTCCGGACGGTATTCGAGTGGTTTCTGTGAATCTGGCTTCGGATTGTTCTGTGCTATGAGGGAGCGGTAATTTGCAGTAATGTTGATGCTATGCAGTATAATCTGAGACTGGCCTCTGACTAATGGCTGGTCGATCTCCGGAGTCCTTCGATTGTTTACAGCGTTGAAGTTTGAGTTTCCAACATCAGTTTCATGTTAATGCCTTGAGACCTGCCTGTGCTCAATCGCCGTTACCATTATGTTATTCACTCTGACGAGAAATTGAAAATGAGGCTATACAGGACGAGAAGGATAACCCACATGGCAAGTGGGCCCTTGGAAGGGTCAGCACTAGGTGAAAACCGGACTAGCGCAGGTGGCCCCGGGGCTTGAGGAGTCTGGACCCAAGCTCAGTTTCCAACGACCGTTGCAAACTTGAACGGAGTGATGACGACGTGGGCAATGCAGCCAACCCCAATCGATGTCCCGATCACAAGACTCGTAACACGACCAGAACACCTCAGAAACCTTGAATCGAGGACAAACGAAGCGAGATGGCTCGATCCCTTACTGGTGATGCCGCCATTTCCTACAGAAAACAAGACTTCAGCCCGCTTGGGTGGCGTATTTCCAGACAGAACAATTGACCACTCCAGCTGCCTCGTCAATCAGTTTCGCTGTTGAATCTCGTTTTGACCAGTTACTCGAGGCGTTGGCAGAGCTGAACAAGGCGCAGACACCAATCGGCTGCAGCCAGAACGACGTCATGGCCTTGTCTTGATCACGGGCGCACAGCGATAGAGTCGAGAGACTGAGGTAAGGGGCACTGGACGGTGAGAACTTGAGAAGATGTTCTGAGCTGGCCCGTGTTCAGCCCAGGGTACCCGGGGTATTAATATATAAGCCGGCTCTGATCTCCGGTCTGTTGCTATTCTTCTGAGATCCTGAAAATAAGCTTCTGTCTAGCACCTGTCTAGACCTGTTAGCTCTGCGCTTGGATCTACGAAGTACATCCACTTCTCCGAATAATCCACTCCACTATTGCCCATCATGCCTGTCGTCTCGCGCGTGGTGTCGATTGTTCTCCGCATCACTGAGATCGCTTTTGCCGCGGTAAGGCTTCCTCGACCTGACGTTTTCATCCATGAAATGCCTAAACTAACTCTCCCAGGTCGTTGCCGGTATCATTGGTTGGTTCCTCAACCGATTCGGCGATCTCGATATGTGGCCAAACGCACGATGGATCTACACTGAGGTCATCGCTGGGATATCCATATTCTTCGGCCTCGTATGGCTAATCCCCTTTTCTGCTGGATTCCTGTTGTGGCCATGTATGTCCTGACCATATCCATCTATTATCGACCGGCACTAACTATGTTATAGTGGATTTGCTCATTTCCTTTGCCTGGTTCGCGGCCTTCGGTGTCCTGGTCGATGGCAGGGACAGACTCGACTGCGGCAGCATCTGGCGTTGGGACAATATCACAGATGACACGATCTGTGGGCGATGGAGGGCTTCGCAGGCATTTAGCTTTCTTTCTGCCATTGTTTGGATTGTCTCTGCGCTCGTGGTGAGTAGGCTGTGGACACTGGACATCGTATCGCTTACTGATGGCTATTTAGGGCATGTGGTTTACCTTCCGCGTGAGGCGACATTCTACTGACAGAGAGTAAGTTGGCATTTCTTTGAATAATGACTACGAGCACTAACTATATCGGTAGCGTCGACCGCTCTCGCGTTTGAATTGACACTGGGTCTTTGATTCGGTGCCAACACGCCAACGTCAGTCGCTATCCGGGTCGTGTATGCCTATGAGAGGCCACGATTAGGGCTGTGGCCTAATACCGCTCAATTCTATTTTCATACTCTATACGCTGCCTTTTTTTTCAACTACGACGACTTGATGATATCCACGAAGCAACCGACTTTAACTTGGAGCACTAACACCCGGTATTTTTAGGAGCTGTCGGCCATGTCCTTATTCTCCTTTTTCACACTCTATTTATCATGATAATCAATTGATAATTTATCTACGTACTGTAGAGTTATTATTGCGTTGTTGATATGGCCATGTAGACGATGACTAACGGTCTTGAGTGAAACCACGCCCAAGCCCAAGCCCAATTTTCTCCGAACATCCGACGTCCATGGAGCGATAAAAATGCCATCACGGTCAAGCTCCTCGTCTTTTGAAAGATTACCCCGACAGCTCGATGAATATTCATTAAAATCTCAAGATGAATCCGATAGTAGCCAAGCGGTAACAATAAATCGGCGGGATGGCTTTGAACCCGCGCCACCCGACCATGAACCAAGCCCGAGTGAGCCTCTGCTCCCAACCTCAAATCCCCGTCCTACCGAGAAGCCAAAGCGCTTCTCATGTACTATTTCCGGCATTAGAGACTGGATGCGTGGGCCATCGCCGCCACATGTATATCGAATCAACCCATGGTTAGCCCGATGGCAGAACGCGCCCGGCCGGCTCATCGAGCGCTACTTTCGCAGCACGAGGTCAAAATTCTGCCTTCTCCTCGCTTCCCTGCTGCTGTGGGGAGTGGTTTTTATCTCTATCTTGCATGCGAGCGTTGCAGGCCAGGAGATTCCAGGCCATGGTCGCCCTGTGAAGCTTTCTTGCTCAAGCAGACTCTGGTAAGGCCCCAGACCGGGACATGGGATTATAAGCTAATGTGTATCAAGGAGCAATTCCACCAATTGTGGTCTCGATGGAGATTTTTGTCGTCCATTTGAAGGAGAGACATTTGCCTTTCGGTGTCCTGCGGGCTGTTCGGGCTTCATTGTTCTCGAGCCATATTATGTAGGCCCGCAGGAGATCAACTATCAACATCTTGTCATTGGAGGCGCTGCCGATCCGGATCAGTCTGACGCAATATATAGAGGTGATTCCTCTATATGTCAAGCTGCAATGCATGCCGGGCTTCTTGAAGACAGCAAAGGTGGCTGCGGCGTCCTGCGTCGCACAGGCGAGCAGAAGAAGTTCCCGGCAGTTGATAGAAACGGCATCTCGAGCGTGGAGTTTCCTTCTTACTTCCCTCTATCGTTTACGTTCGACACCGGTCAGTCATCAGAAGACGATGAATTCACCTGCCAGGATCTCCGCTGGCCGCTCTTCACCTTCTCCGTGATCGTATCCACGATATTCTCTCTGGTTGTTACATCACCAGCAGCATTCTACGCTTCAATCTTCTTCATCGTCTACTTCCAAGTCGCCCTCTCCTCCGACCCTCCCTACTCCCCAGACTACTACGAGATTGTCTCAATCGGCCTTGGTCGCTTCCTCCCCTGCGCCTTCGTCGGTTTCGCAATCTACTATTTCTGCGTCCGCAAAACCCTAACCGACCTAACGGCCCACTGGGACAAGACTATACTTTGGCTTGGTCCCTGCTGGGTCGGCGCCCTCAACACAGACACATTCGATAAAATCCCCATCTCCCGCCTGACTCCCCACGACATCCAGCAGCAGCCCGGCGCCATTCCGGCCTTGATCACCATCATCGTCATTCTAGTGGCAATCGTCCTCACACAAGCCCTCGCCTTCCGCAATGAGGGCCGCATGCCGAAAATGCTGGCACTCTATGGTACACTTGTGGCAGGGATAGTCGTCCTCCTTCTCGTGCCGAAGATGAACCTCCGCATCCACCACTACATCCTCGCCCTGCTCTTCCTCCCCGGCACAACACTCCAAACCCGGCCGTCGTTATTGTATCAGGGATTATTGATCGGCCTGTTCATCAACGGCATCGCTCGCTGGGGCTTCGACTCGATCCTCCAGACATCTGCGTCCCTTCTCGACGGCGCACAACTCGGCTCTATAGTCCCCAACATCACGCCGGATATCATCACCGTCCCGTCTCCGGATATAATCTCCTTCGCTTTTAGTTCCCTCGCATCTCTCCCCTCTGACGTTGACGGCCTCAGCGTGCTCGTCAACGACGTTGAGCGCTTCCACGCGTTCCGAGGTGATAGTAATGGCGCTGTGGATATGAAGATTCCCGACTGGAACTGGACCAGGGTTGTAACCGGGGACCCCGAGTATTTCCGGTTCGGGTACATGGTCGAAAATGCGCTTGGTGGGTTCTATTATCAGGACTTCACGACGCCGGTTGTTTGGGATGAGAGTGGGCAGTGGAATGTTTCTGTCCCTGCGTCTGTTTCTGAAGGTGGTGACGGTGATGGTTCGAAATGATCTTGGATGGCATATTGGGGACCTAGATTGTGCATCTAAGGGACTATATGTGTCCCAGCTTCTTGGTCTATCTCGGAAAAATGTGGCATAGCCTATTTAATCCTATTGGAGAAACGGAGCATTGGCAATTTGGTAAATCACTGCATAAGACCATTTCCTAGATAGCAGTACTAGTCTATAAGTAAAACGCCACTAACGCCAGGGTCCAAGCAGACGGTGCATAGATAATGCAGAAATCCCATCCAGATCTGGCGTTACCAGCTAGCCAGATCCATATGTGCATGCTGATACAATAGAGACAACCAAAAAAGAAATCATAACGTAAATATGCCATGCCAGACGGCCAGGGTCCAAATGCCAACATTAGGTGACAGTTATATGTAGATAGCATCAATATAAACGACTCGAGGACGTGCGAGTTTATGTGCTCTTCTCTTTCTCTTCCTTCTTTTCCTTCTTCTCTTCCTTCACGTAATTTTGACTGCACTTCACCTGTACGACTTCCTGCTTCCCACCGTCGGAAATAACCAAGGCTGTCAACTTGCCGCCCTTCACGCAGCCGGAGTCTAGGCCCTTGGTGAACTCCTGAATCGACAAGCCCGTTTTAGAGTCGTGCCCGTAGATCACTGTCATGACGCCGTTCTTGGTCTGCATTGAGAGGGATTGATGCTTGTTGAAGAGCTTGAATCGTAGATATTAGTTTGTTTTCCGTAGCGTGAAAGGGTATGAGAGGTGGGTAAATAGGTACCTTTGTCCACTTCTTGCCCTTCTCATCTGAGCTACTAGGCATATGCGTCGGCAAATCAACCGTCTTCATATTCATCACGCTGTACGGGTCCTGTTGGTCCAGATCAACGCCGGGTACAAGTCCACCATGGACGACGACGACCTGCCCCATATTCGCCACCGGGCCGACGTTCAATACGACAGGGCATGCATCCAGCCAGTCTGCCTGCTCGGCGGACAGCGCGCGGGCGAGCTCGCGGAACTTGACGGACTCCGGGTGCGCGATGTCCCATGAATCGTCGGTAATATTGGCTTCGAGCATATCGTGGCGGAGTACGAGGACGCGGTCTTCGTGGTTGCCGCGGACGCAGGAGGCGTTGTATCCCCGAGCGATATCGACGACGCCCAGGCTGTCGGGGCCTTTATTGATGAGATCACCGACGAAGATCAGATGGTCGCGCTTTTGGTCAAAGGAGACTTTGTCGAGGAGTTTCTCCACTGTCCGTTTTGGATGCCATTAGCATTATCCCGTCGAGAGACTTGGAAAACGAGATGGGGTACGCACACTCCTCCTTACACCCATGCACATCCCCCACAACCACCAACCGCCGCAGACTATCGAGAGAGTTCTCACTCTTCGCCTCCTTCGCCGGCAGCAGCGCCTTATCCAGATTCTCCAACTGGATCATATCTTCCAACTGCGGCACGGCGTTCGCGCCAAACCACCCACCAACTTTCCCCTTCTGCTTTGGATCAAGCGACGTCAGAAGCGCCGAGTTCTCCTTTAACCGCGGGAACAGGAAGAACTGCCACCCCAGTATGCAAGCCGCCAGCAGAGCAAGGTAAACGAGCACGTATCGTCGGAAACGCGGGGCCGCAACGATCGACAATATCATCTGCACCCATTTAGGGGCGTCGGCGCGGTCCGAGGCGGATGAGGGCGAGAGGTGGCTGTATTTTGCGCCGCTGGATTGCCACTCGTTGCGCACGTAGTCGATTAAGGGCCGCGCCAACCGCGTTAGGCGGGATGGTGGCGATGATGTGTGTGTGTGGTACAGGCCGTCGTCGGAGATGTCGTCAGAGAAATCGAGGGTCTCGCGGTCGCGCGAGCGCTCGAGGTCGGTCATTTGGGTTGGGTGCGACGTTGAGATTGGGGGTTCCGTGGGTGAAGGCGAGAGACCGGGTGGTTAGGAGGGAGGAGGGCCCATGGATTGCCGAGAGGAGTGTTTTCAATTGATTGAGATGGGAGATGTAGGTTGTTGTTCAGGCAAAGTGTCGTGTGCCTGGTTTACGATAGATCAGCCCTGCACAGCCTTGACTCTTGGCCTTCGTTGGGGTCCAAGGCCTTCGCTCAATCAGGTTTCTTGTTTCTCGATTACTATGATTTGAATTGTACTAACATGGTTCGTTGATGCGCTGGAGATTGTGCCTTGCTTTATAGGATCTCTTCTTTTCAGACATTTAGGTGCTTATTGTACACATTGTAAATCATATTAGCCGCCCAAGATCTATATCATCACTCCTGAGTCTTTTAGCGCCCAATCATCGGAATTGCTCGTAGTACGCCATCTCCTTCTGGCGCTGGTTTACTTTCTGGATAATCTCCTCACTGTAGAGCTCTTCGACCTTCTTTCCACCAAGAAGGACTTCCTTCTCATGGCGAGTGGCTTCCTCCTTCGTCATAAGCACCAGGTCCTCCGGCTTAAACGGAACGCAAATCTGCCCTTCTTTCGCCCACAGAGGATCCGGTTTGAACCCATTGGCAGGTCGCTGCCAAAGAGTGAGTGCTAGACGGCTTGGAAGCCCAGTAACGACACTCTTGCCGCGCCAGATCTCGTCAACGAGGTAGATGATATCGTCTCTGCTCATTGGTAGGCGCAACCCCAGAGGTTGAGCGCCAGACTCACTTTCCGCCCGGGTGAGACGTTCAACAGATACGAGTAGCTGCGCGTGAATGGTGTCGTAAAGCTTGTCTTTGCCCTTACCACCCATGCTGTAGTCTGTTGGGTACCCAGAGACCTCACAAATGACGTGATTCGCAAGGGTATATCCAAACACGGCAGGCATTGTTCCAAGCACAGGAAGAATTCGAGAACGAAATTCCGGGAGTACTGATAGCTCGTCTACTTGGCCCTTGGCAAACTCCTCCTCCGCGAGGGGCAGAAGAGTTGCCTTGCCGGGGCCGGGCTTTTCTGTGGAGAACACAACTGGGATGCCGCCGGTTACTCCCAAGAGCTTGAGCCGCCTCCGTGTACTGCGTGATAGTCGGTCGTCTGAGCTAACTGAGATATCTGTGATCATCACACGAGTGGGGTCTGATTTGCATCCCGCGCCCATTGAGGAGATCACCGGGATCGAGTGCGTGTGGCAGTAGTGTAGCAGTTCAACCTTTGATTGGATGTTATCAATGCAATCAAGCACGTAGACAGGCTTCTGTCCCTTGTCGGCATCATTCAACGACCACGGTGCCAACAGGTCATCAGCCACGGAGCCGCCGAAGAGCTCGTTGCGGCAATCGAACCGCACCCACGGTACAATCTGCTGCAGTCTCCTGCGGATGCAGTGTACCTTGGGCGTTCCGACATCGGCCAAAGTAGCGAGAGCATGTCGATTTAGAGAAGAAAGCGTGACTTGGTCGAAATCGATCAGGCGAATCTTGGAGACGCCCGATCGGGCCAGCGAAGCAACAGCATGCGACCCGACACCTCCGCACCCAACAACAATGATAAACGCCTCGCGGAGCTTTGCGAGACCCTCGTCCTTTAGAAAAACACGGTTACGGGCGAGCTGCTCAAGGATAAGTTCTACCAGCGAGAAGCAACGTTAGCCTGTGCGTTCACCAGCAGACACTCTGTAGCCGCTTACCTTCATCGTAATCTCCCTCTTGCGCCCTCCGCGCAAGAGCTGCACCGCGCTCGTCCTCCTTGCTCCAGTACGGCCCCGGAGCTGCGGCGCCATATTCATTTAGGCTCTCCGCGCGGTGTCTCTCGTCAATTGCCGGTATAGACGCCTTCAACCGTTTCACAGCTTCTCGTCTCCGAAATTTCTGGAGGCCGAGGATTGCGCCTGCGACAGCCGCTCCGGATAGCACCGCGGTTGCAGCGAGCTGCGCCTGGTGGGAACCGTTTTGCCGTTGAATCCAGGACGCCATCTTGTATAAGTATAAAGTTTTTATGTTCTATCGAGGGCCGTTGCGCCGAGTCGTCGATCAATTCATTTGCTATGAAGGTCTAGTTAGAATTGTATTTCACAAATAGCAGGCATGGTCGTGGTTTCACAGTGTGTACATTATGGAATTGAAGAAGAAGCTTACCATCATACAGCTCAACACATCAAAGATCGTGCAGTCATGAAACCATGAACTTGATCCATTGCTCTTCAAAGGTCCACAAAGCGTGATGACATAGTTGGTCACGTGCCAGTCTATATTTATGCCGCGTCGCCGATCTGAAGCTCTTCTGACCATGTATCAAAAGGTAAGTTATATCAGAGCACCGTCTTCTCCCGCCCTCTTGCTCTAGTGCCGAGGTTTTGGCTAACAGTCAATAAAATAGGTTCGAACCGGACCTGCGCTACGATCCCAATGACGATACACCATTCACACTAGAGCTTCTCATGACACCTTATATCGGACAAGTCCGACGAATCGATATCATCCTTCGTGCGCTCTTCGCAACCGAATGGAAGATGAGATTTGCTTAAGCGTGTGTGATTGAGATTGAACAGAGATCTAAGGGATTGCTTGCTGGTTCCTCGACCTGGTTACAAGGCGCCATCAATGAGTCGCGTCGCGTTTCCTTACTCTTCTCGACCATGTATACGAATATCTGAGACTGAAACACCTTCGTTGTTTGGCTGTTTCTGGATAGTCTACCAACTTTATCCAACGCATTTCCGACCCCAAACTTGCATGTCAACCCGAACAATGTCCATACACGGTTTCAATGAATGATGTATTCGCTTTGCAGTTTCCTCCTTCCTGTTTTTCTTTATTTTCTGTTGATCAAGCACTGCCCGGTGATGAGTACATTGTACCAAAAGCCAAAGTTGTATGATAACCGGCCTTGAAGCTTTCTTGCAAAGCACTGCAGCCTGGATATCGATGAGAACCTGAGAGCTAATCTGAGGGCGGTTGCAAGATTGAGCTTTACTACCCAGTTAACATAGTCAATACTAGTTTGTTAATGCATTGAAGTATAAAATGGCTTGTCTTGGGGCTGGGCTGTCTTGGGCGTCATGGGCAGGCGCAGTTATAGAGAAGACGGGGAGTCTGTTCTTAAGAATATGCTTTGATAATGAACTTCCAAGTTCCCACACTTTGCGAACCAAGGGTCCCGCTATCTAGGACCCTTGTCAAAGGTCCCTTGACCAGAGTCATGGGCTTGCTATTATTATAATCATGTCATTTCCACCGAGCACGTCGGGCCATTTGGAGCCGAGACGAGTTACGGTAGTATCAGTCCTCGATCGTCAACCAAGGTTGGTGCCTGGCTACTTTCAAGTCGCTGGCATGAGGTTACAGGAACAGGCCAAGTTTCTGAGTCGGTTGTACTGTATGTTCCTGGATATGCGCCGACAGACAGATATCGGCATTCCTAGATTCAAAGAGAATGCCCCTCAAACTCCAGGCTGTCGCGTATGTATTCCCATTTAGATCTATCAAATCCAAGCCAACGGAGACGCAGTAGGTGGCGCCAGGCTATGACGCGGCGTGTGCAGGCCTAGTCGCAGAAGCCTCTCTTGACGCTCGTCCAGTCAAGGTGGAGTGGACGTGCAGCTGTAAGCCTGCAATTCGTCATGGTCTAGATTGTCAAGATCGCAGTGGACCTGTAACGTTTGATGATCTCTGCCGGAATGCCAGCCAGCCAGGGCTCAGGGCTGAGGTGAAGGCCGGATGCGGCGATGACAGCACGATGGCGGGCGCGAGATACAACACCGTTCTTCGGATGCCGTGGAGAATCCCGATGATCCATCGATAATAGCCTGCCTTAGTGTATATGTCGTGATGGGGGCTGTTTGGCCCGTTGCGGACATGAAGCTGCGAGTGACACCCGTGATGAGCACCGGATGTCACAGTCAGCATGTTATAAAACACCTTCGGCCCCTGAATTTCGCTGCAGCCTGACAAGTCCAACGAGAGATTGTTGGTATAGAAAGCGACGTCCGGGATTATCGGGATTAGAACCTGAGGGCTAAGCATTGCAGCTGCAGCTTCCACGCGGCGGGCGCCACTTAGTCTGAGTTCCGCCGCTTCTTGCCTGTTCATTACGACAGCACCGGCCCACGCCAGGCCTGCCCAATTTCTCACCTTTTCTTTCTATATTCATCTTTTTTCTTCTTCCTGCTGCAAGTCAGCAAGGTATTCTCAACAGCGTGGCCTCCTGTTGCTGGTCAATTGGTCCTCGAATCCGACCAAAGTCGAGCCTGACGTTTCCCAACGCGGTAGATAACGGAGCTTCTGTCCGAGTCAATCCTCGCTTTGCGCCTATTCGTCCCACCACTTCCTCGAAACAAGCAGACATGTACGGTTACCGAGCGGCCATTCGGTGAAAGCAACTAGACTGATTCACAATCTGATTGATCGCCGGGCGAGAAAACGGCTGCTGATCGGAGCCGCGGAAAAGTTGGCTGGACCGCAGTAATTTCACGGAGCCGCTGTCGCAACTCTGCAGCGATGCTCACATTTCGAAAGGCGCTCATAGTAGCTGCCGTCTTCGTCACCCTCATTCTCTTCCTACGATCGTCGCATCCTTCCTCCGAGTCGGCAGTAGCCGCGTCCCCAGAGACGGTTGCTTATGAGATCAGTCAAGAAACAAAGGAAAAAGCGCCAAACCAGAATGCAGAATCGACACAACAGCAGCCGATGAAGGAGCCTCCTCCGCCTCCTACTGCTCCCTTGCGCGAACGTTTGCACTATCATTTCCCATATGATCTGGAAGCCAAGTTCCCCGCGTACATCTGGCAGACGTGGAAGTATACTCCGGCTTCTGTGTGGTTCAGTCAGGATTTACGACAACCGGAGGCGAGCTGGACTGAGATGAACCCTAGTTTCGTTCACCAAGTTGTACCGGACGATACCCTTCATCATCTCATAAAATACCTATACGGTTCAATTCCCGACGTGCTCGAGGCGTTTAATTCATTGCCGATACCTGTGTTAAAAGCCGACTTCTTCAGATACCTGATCCTTCTTGCGCGTGGCGGGGTCTACAGCGATATTGACACCACCGCGTTGAAACCCGTGGTAGACTGGCTACCAGACAGCGTTGACCTGTCGACGATTGGCTTCGTCGTCGGGATTGAGGCTGACCCCGATCGACCTGATTGGCATGACTGGTATTCTCGCAGAATCCAGTTCTGCCAGTGGACCATTCAGTCCAAACCGGGCCATCCTATTTTGTTAGACATCGTGACATACATCACCGAAGAAACTCTTAGGATGAAAAAGGCAGGTATACTGAAGAAGGGGAAGATGGACAAGACCATTGTTGAATTCACTGGACCAGCAGCTTGGACTGATGCAGTGTTCCGGTATTTCAATGACCCCGAATACTTCCATGTCGAGCCTGGAACCACCCGCAATATCACATGGGAGGATTTCACGAACCAAATTGAATACCAGAAGGTTGGCGATGTGATGGTCTTACCAATCACCAGCTTTAGTCCCGGAGTGCAGCAAATGGGTGCTCAGGGCATAGATGACCCTATGGCATTCGTCAAACATGACTTTGAAGGTAGGCCGCTCATCGCCGTTAATCGTCAAAGGTCAAGCTGACGGATCAACTAGGAACATGGAAAACTGATCCCTCGCTATAATACTATCACATGCCATTCACTAGTGAACGATTGAGTCCACCTATGCGGTTGAGAGGCAAAATCTTGATACTGCCCCATAGTTCATCCTTCGAGAGCGAGTTCGAAGATGGCGTTTTGCAGCTAAAGGGCCATTGAAGGCTCTTATTGATTACCACATTGCTGGTCTCCGCGCTCACAATGGTTGAGCATACACCACCTCTTTTACGACTCTTGGTCCCGGAGAACCCCCAGAGGAATTTTTGATGCGCACGCCTTGGCGATGTCTATAGCCTCCGAAATAGGTTTCAAAGTTCGACAACCCCCTACGTCGTTTTTCACCTGATGAAATTCAATTTGCGAGGAATGTTGGCACTGGCTGGTCTGTTGTGCCCGCAACATGCGCTGCGTCTCCGTTAACGATGCATATGTATGTGTATACGTGCTGTTTCTTTTCTTGCGTGTCTCTGAATAATCGATAGAAGATTTAATATCATAATGGCTAATGAAGCTCACTTGATCATACCGTACCACCTTGCCGACCCGGTACTACCTACGCCTATTTGTCCCTCTAAGCTCATTCGGATGCTCCGAAGGATTCATCCTTGTGGCCAAAATAAAGCAACGCAAGCACCCTCGTGTACTGCCCTTTCAACGTGACCGGGCCTTATCGTGCTTCCGGAATCCTTGGCCCATGTTCAACGTCACTTGTAACAGAACGAGGAAGCCGCGGATGTGGGCACCCGTGTATGACCTCGCGGTTGAAAAATGCCTACACCTCCGCGCCCCCACCGAGTCCTCAGATTCCTCGATAGTCATATTCCGAGTTCAAGCTGGTTCAGCGTATAGAAAGATTCACGAACCAACATGGCCATACAATCAAAGCAGCAACCCGGCCCGGTTACTGCATCGACTGATGTCTTGGACATGCCCTTGGACTTTCTTGGCCAAGCCCACTTTCTCCATATCTATACCCAGCTGTGCCTCTGTTATTCAGTGGCAAATCCTGCCTTACATCCCGCAATTCTCAGCACGCTGCGTAAAGGTCTTGAACGCCTTTCGTGGGGCTTCCCATGGATAGCCGGCCAAGTTGTCAAAGAAGGCGCCAACGGAGAAAGCACCGGAGTCTACAAGCTAAAGTCGTTTGAGAAGGTTGTGTCACTGAACGTGAAGGACCTCAGCAATGACCGCTCATTTCCCAGTATGGATGCCCTCAGGAAGGCCAACTTTCCTATGAAAATGCTGGGTGAGAGCATCCTTGCCCCTCGCAGGACTATACCAGGATTTCCCGACGAAGCTGGTTTGAAAAATACGCCAGCCTTACTCGTCCAGGCAACCTTCCTAGCCGGCGGCCTCCTGCTCACCGTTGCCAGCCACCATGCTGCGATGGACATGACTGGGCAGGGCCACCTCATGAGCCTCCTCTCCAAGGCATGCCACGGTGAATCGTTCGCTGCGCAAGAGCTCATGATTGGGAATCTCTCCCGCCACAATCTCATCCCCTTCCTAGACGATACGTATCAGCCTGGCCCAGAAGCTTCCATCCTACATTTCAAGGCTCAACCAGACCCTAAACCCACATCCACACCTTCCAGCCCAATAGAGGCAGAAGTCGACGTGAACAAGGAGAAACTCAACCAAGCACCACCGCCCTGTTCCTGGGCCCATTTCACCTTCCGCCCATCCTCCCTGCAAGCCCTCAAATTCATCGCCACAGCAACAAAGCCTTCATCAGCCCGCTTCATCTCCACAGATGACGCCCTCTGCGCCCTCATCTGGCAAGCCATTTCCCGCGCCCGCCTCGCACGCCTCCCACCAATGACAGAGTCAACGCTCGGCCGCGCCGTCGACCTCCGTCCGCACATAGACACCATCCCAAACACGTATCTCGGCCTAACGCAGAACATGGTCATGAGTAACCTCACCCTAGATTCTATCACGACCTCCACCTTAGGCGCGATCTCCGCCAATCTTCGCTCAACACTCGCCCGCGGGACCTCAAATATCCTATACGATACCTCCGCCCTAGCAACCGTCATCACCCGCGCAGCGAACAAGACAGAGGCCTTTGCCCATGAGTTCCTCGATTATACCAAGGACATTGCGATCAGCTCCTGGAAGGAAGTGAACTGCTCTAAACTGGATTTCAACCTTGGCTTAGGCTTTCCGGAGGCCTTGCGCAGACCTTCCTTCACGCCTTTGGAGGGCGTGATCTTTTTCTTACCCAAGGCGCTTGATGGAGAGGTGGGCGTTGCTATTTGCCTTAACGATGAGGACATGGCCAGACTGAAAGGTGATGGAAAGTTCATGAAGTATGCAACCTTTGTTGGGTAGTTGGCTTGCCTCTCTCTGGGATGCCACCTGCCAGCCTCGGGACAGGAACGGATTATCGAGGGAAAAAGTGTAGGGCAAAGTATCTATAGGGATAAACTATCATTATATGCGTACAATTTGACGGGATACTTCCACCAGTATAGACTTGGTCGTCTCCGTCCTGTGCCTCTCATTCATTGGAAGTAATCCAGTTGCTTAGGCAGGTAGGAAACTCAACAGCCATAATGGGCCAGCAATGTTTATTGCGTCTCCATAGTCAACTTTACCTATACTCGTCTCACGTGAATGGGCTCGGGCATCCCGGGTTTATAGCCCACCCCCCACAGCCCAACAACCCAACAATGGTTCGTTAGAAAAGAAAGAGAAATTGTATTCATTCCTGGAGCCTAAATAAGCTTTGGCATCTTTGAACAAACAAGATACCTAATTTCTTTCCTTACTGTTTAGATTCCATCTTGACAGTCCATTAGAAAGGAAAGTACATGGACATCGACTCATCGGCACGTATGGGCAATAAAGCAGCCAGCTACATGACCCTGACATACTTAGTGGCAACCATGTATATACTAACATTAGATGATGGGTAGATCGTGGAAGTTTCCAAAAGACGCTTGCTTATAATGCGCGTCTGGGTCGAAACACCGGGTGAAAAGGGAATTGCCAAATGCCAGCACTTGAGATTAGGGAGCAAGAAGTGTAGTGTGGCCGTCATCATAAGAACAAAGATGTATAATGTATATGGCCCTGAAGTTTTTCTTGGTCAGGGTAGCGTTTGAATGGTGAGACAGTGTCTTTGACCAGGACTCAAAAAGGTTTGGTGACATGTGCGGAGAGAAACCCAGTTAGTCAGGACTAGTATGCCCAAACCTGAGGGATAATTATGGACAAGAACAGACAAGTGTGAGGGGCGTGACCCGCGAACGGTTCCCGGCCTAGTATCAGAATAGAGACATCTGATAGGCGAGACGGTCAATTAAGCGTTCTATCCAGGCGCGCTGGTATTGAACTCAAGGCAGGGCGATCAGCGCTACTGTGCATCTTAGACATGTGACAGGTATAGCAGCTGCTTTATGCTCTGAGATCTGAAACGGGCCGAACCTCCTCGGCTAAAACCTATAGGGGTCCGCATAATTCGGTTTTCAGGAGTGTGATGTCATTCTGCGATGTTGAATGCACGTATAACTAGGATCGGCAAGCAAGCTGTTTTTGACCGTCCTAGAAGTCGCTGAAGAGTGTCTCATATTTGGACCGCATGTCCTCGGTATATATGGCTTGGGTCTTCGGATCAGGATCAGGATATTCTTCGAAGTTTCCTGTATCCGCGGGGTGGTCGACACGAGGGATGATAGGCCCTTTGATACGACGGTAGAAAAGATCGTCCCAGTTGATGTCCGCAAAGAACGGATGAGTTCGTACCCTTGCCGAGCCGCCTGATATATGCCCGAGGCGCTCGGCTGGGTTCGTCTTGCATAGCAAGGAGATGATGTTCTGCGCAGCCGGTGACATATTCTGAGGATATCGTATGCGACCTTCAACGATTTGTTCGTAGATTCGCATCGGATTTTGGTCCCAAAAAGGAGGTTGACCAACAAGGAATTCGTATATCAGAATCCCAAGAGCCCACCAATCGACCGCAAGACCATGCCCACTATTGTGTATCACTTCGGGGGCTAGGTACTCCGGAGTACCGCAGAGTGTATACGTTTCGCGGTCTCCGATCTGCTTTGCGAAACCGAAATCAACAAGCTTGATGTGACCATCAGCGTCAATTAGGATATTCTCCGGCTTCAGATCGCGATAGACAACACCCTCAGCATTGTGGAGGAACTCGATTGTCATTGTAATTTCGGCCGCATAGAATCTCGAGGTGTTTTCGTTGAACCGCCGCGCACGGCGCAAATAACTGAATATCTCACCCCCAGGGCAGTAGTCCAGCTTGAGAGATGTCAGTCAACGGTCAATGACGACAAATGTGGTGGCCAAGGTCGTACCAGCATATATAGACTTTGGTTGTCAGAGAAGGAAGTGATTAGGGTGGTGATAAATGGGTGGCCGGATACATCCGCTAGAGTCCTTCGTTCGTTACGGACATGCTCGACTTGCTTGAGTTTGATCACTGTAGATGGAGACCCGGTATATTAGCCAAGACCGTGGTGATGGAATGGCGTTGAACTGTCCGTACCGTCGGCCTTTCTCAGGATCTTTAGCGCGTAGACCTTGTCCGGTTTCGCCTTGTCGTCGCGTAATCTCGCCAACCATACTCGGGCAAATGTACCTGTGAAGACGAATTTAGATTCCAGCCACAATATATCCAAGCGTTCCGGTACTAACCGGTACCGAGAGTCTTCAGTAATACGAAGTCCCTGACGCTCAACTGCCGGGCAGAGATTCCCAGCTGTTTCTCTTCTGGCCGCTCGGTGATGACGAAAGGGTTCGGGTGCCGCTGTGTCGGCGGTCGGACAGAAGCTACCGTGCGCTTCTCCCTTTCATGAATCTCATCGGGGTTTCGGCTCCCGGTATTAGAGGCCGATGAGCCCTGCACACCACTAAGTGGCGAAGGGCCGACGGTTCCTGAAGCCATTGGGATGGCTCGAGATCATGTCTCGGAGGATGGTGGGGAAGGAGGAGCGATGCGCGAGAAGGTGAGCAACAAGGTGGCAATTGAGCCAATAGCAGGTTCATCTATTAAGACGCAGGAACAGTAGAGAAGAGCTGGAAGACCTGTATCAAAGGTCCAGAGCGATAAGAGACAAAGAAAAAAAAGCGTTTATTTGCTACTGCGGGATAAAAGAGGTTTTTTGCTGGCGCGCTAGGTACGGAGACTCTGACGTTACCGGCTGGCGGGGCAGTCCATACAAAGTTACTCCTGCGAAAACAAAGTATGCAGCCATCACAAGACCCAGCTAGAGGCAATGTAAGTTATCAGCTCTGGTTCTCGAGATAATCACAGGTTCAACCTGATCGTATTTGTAGTCTGAAACACATGAATGCATGTACGGAGTACTAGTACAGAAACCCGCCTTGGAACAGAGGCTGAAGTATGTGTGGAAGTGCGTGGACGAGGCCCAATCGCGATCTAGAAAGATCGGTATTGGATTCGTTCTGGGGTGTCCTATAGGTCCGTCATCGCCAAAAAGTCTATACAGGTAGGTAGAAGCGTCGATATATGAAGGGACGATGCGGAGACCAAGGGCGTCAACCAAACGGACAAGCAGTTAGTTGTAGAACTCGATTAGCGCTCAGTTCGAGCTCTTGGAGTTTAGAATAAGGCCAACGATCAAGCTGCTGGGAATTAGTGGGATGCTTCAGTAGTTCATACAGAAGAAGTCACGCGTACCCATAGAGTCCAAGAACTTCACCAAAAATCAGAATGAGAATCATGCCGACGTAGACCCTGGATTGCTGCATATAGGCGCGGACTCCCTGTACCAATTGTTAGACACCGCGTTCCGAGGGCGTAGCCATTCAATCTTCGCTTACAGCATCTCCAACAATTCCAATTGTATATCCCGCAGCTATTCCTGCAAGACCGACCGACAGTCCCGACGCAAGATGCATGCATCCCCTTCACGCACGGTTAGCCTGGATCCAATGAAGATCCCTCTAAGCCGGTCAACGTACGCATATAAGCTCAAAGATTTGCCCTCTGACGGTGGAGGGACGTCACCCTGGATAAGGACAGCAATAACCAGACCGTAGACGGCGATGATACCGGACATAACGACGGGAATCAAGGACTGTCGTTACGGACGGTCAGCGCAAGAACTAACAGTCGTTCCGTTATAGCAAATGAATCTCTCCCACCTTCATAATTAGGTCAGGCCTGAACGTTCCCACACCGGCGATTCCAATTCCAGCCTTGGCCGTGCCATATGCCGCTCCGGCCGCTGTATCAGTAAGCTTCCGCCGTCTTGCAGTATGCTGCGAGATTGTAAAACGTACATCCGAAGATCATCTATCAAAGCTTCGTTAGTCTATGCGTTGCAGGCTCGGAGGGAATATGGGACACTCACGGCTGCGGCAATTCCTGCCTATTTCCAGGTTGAATGTCAGCGTCGGCGACCCAGAGCTTCAAGCTCAAGTGCATCGGACAACTCACGAAGGACAGGAACGGGGCGAACTTGGGTGTCAGCTCGCTCTCGGTCATGGTTCTATCTCGATGGAGAAAGGTATGCAGAAAATGGACAGGATACTCCGAGTAGATAAGGAAAATGTGAAGTAAAGAAGACGATGCAGGAGTTTCGATGTAGTCTACACGGTATAGTTAGCTAGAGCTGGTCCCGGGCACGAGAGAAGGGGAGCAAGTTGCTTGCGTGGGCCGCCGTAGAGAGCGGGCGGACAGCCACTTCGCCCGTCTGGGTTAAGCCTGACATGTGCCTGTTCGACCCAACAACTGACCTTCATTTCCACCCCCGTGCTCTCTTTTCTTCACGCACGGCATTCACGACCACCGATCAATATTCCCTCGAAGGCCACCTCGTCTCCTTCGCTTGTCGTCTTTGTCTGGTGCTCGCTCTCCAGACTCGATTGCCCGATCGGCCAATCCATACGGAGGGAAGGATGCTGAGGTTATGAACGGCATAGGCACTGGTCTGCCATTGCGCTCAAGGCTCCTACTGGATTCACGTTAGACTTTACCACGCGGTGTCGCCATTTGCATATCGAGGCATGAACTATCACTGAAGGACTATTCGTATCTCGCGTTCTCCATTTCAATCTCTTGTTCCTGTCTTTCTTATTTCTATCACCCTCGACCCTTCGTTGTCCTTCGATCGACTATCACTTAATTGCTGTGGAGTAACGTCTGTTGACCCCCTCTTCCCCATTCCGCCATCCCCACGAAACGAACGACAACCCGAAACGTCGCTGTACGCTGTTCACGACCAGACTCGATACCATCCTCCCTCGTCTCTGCTTGCGATTTCGTATCAAATTGGTCTCGTTTTCGCCGTCGTCGTGTTCTCTCCGGCTGTCAAAAGTAGCGGGATAAACTTAGAAACGAGGCGTGGGATATTTTACAATGGCCGATATAGGGGGCCAGCAAGGCCGGAACTACCGGCCTCACGGCCATCCTTCGTCTGTACAGCGTGATGCTGCATTCTCAGAAATTTTCGGCGGAGCACGGCAGCCTGGACGCTCGCAGACCATGACATCCCAAACGGCCCAGTTCTCCCAAGACCGGGCTCACACCATGTCATCACAGGTTCCGCGCCCACAAATGCAAAGAGGCCCTCCGCCACCGCAGCGCCAGATGCAGAATGGATACCCACCAAGCCAGCCGAACGGGTACTACCAGGCATATCGTGGCTCAGCAACGATGACTTCGCAGTCTTCTCAAGGCCCGCCTCGACCTTACCCCGGGCGCTATGCTTATCCTCAACCGCAGCGGCTGGACTCAAGACCTGCTCCGGGGCCTCCATACCAAGACCCCAAGGGGTACAACCGAGCGCTTCCCCACCCCGCCTTGAATTCGGACACCTACAGGTCAAGATCAATGGCTAGACTGGGAGGGCCGCCGATCAATCAACCCCAACCGAATAGCTTTAACCATACTTCAGCCATCGCGTCTCGCAATCAGCCATATAATCCAGCGACTCCAATGACACCCCAAGGGCGTCCGGTGCCTGAAAGGCATGGGAACGAACGCGCCATGTCCCTAACTTCGTACTCCGTGGATCGCCAACCAAATCGTACGACAGAATACGGACGACCAATTCCAAACAGGCGACAACCGTCTGTGCCTTTTCAACCACCAGTTGCCCAGCAGGATGACTTCACCGATTACATGAATGGAAAGACTCGCCCCCCGAGTGACGGATCAACGCCGTCTTCCCGGACCTTTTCCATGGCGTCTACTGTTGCGCCCGATCGGACAATGAGCATGCAGAGCACTCTTACGCACAGGCCCAGCGCGCAGACAACCACAACTCTCGTGTCGAACAACTCGCGCCGCAGCAAAATGCTCGCTGTGAATCCGGCCCTTCTATCGCGAGTTGCCGATGCGTTCCGTGAACATATTGCACTTGGTGAGAAACAAAAGAACGGCCTTTCGTATCAGAACGCATTTTCTGGCGCAGACGCGGTGGATGCTATTGGTGGGATCATTAAGACAACTGATCGAAACCTTTCTCTCCTCCTTGGGCGAGCTCTAGATGCGCAAAAGCTCTTCCACGATGTCACATATGATCACCGACTTCGCGACGCCCCCGGGGAACTCTATCAATTTAAGGAGACATTAGGAGAGGAAGCGCCCAGCTCCGAGGTCAATGGCGTTTTCACCCTTCTAACCGAATGCTATTCTCCAACCTGTAACCGCGACAGCCTGTGCTATTCGATCGCTTGCCCAAGGCGACTCGAGCAACAAGCCAGGCTGAACATGAACCCGCTCCCGGTGCTCCGAGCTTCCGCGTCGAAAAGCAGTCTTCACGGTGATGATGATGGCGATGATAATCAGAAGCTATGGATCAACATGGTGCCCAAGGAAGTGTCGGACAATGTCGATGACAAGGAAAAGAAACGTCAAGAAATCATTTTTGAGATCATGTACACAGAGCGAGACTTCGTCAAGGATCTGGAATATCTACGGGACTTCTGGATGAGACCATTACGCTCTGCCAACAATTCCCCCATCCCCGAACACCGACGGGAGAAGTTCATCCGTACCGTGTTCGGCAACTGTCTGGATGTTCTGAAAGTCAATAGCGCGCTCTCGGAAGCTCTCAACGCAAGGCAAAAGGAAAGTCACGTTGTGAAGAGCGTTGGCGACATTTTCTTACAACATGTGCCCCGTTTCGATCCGTTTATCAAATATGGCGCGAACCAATTGTACGGCAGATGGGAGTTTGAAAGGGAGAAATCGTCCAACCCAGCATTTGCAAAGTTCGTGGATGATACCGAACGGTTGAAGGAATCTAGAAAACTAGAGTTGAACGGTTATCTCACTAAACCAACCACTCGTTTAGCAAGATATCCTCTTTTACTGGAACAAGTGGGCAAGAACACTGCAGAAGGGAGCTCGGATAAAGAAGACATCCCAAACGCTATCAAAATCATCAAAGATTTCTTGTCCCGTGTCAATGCTGAGAGTGGAAGGGCAGAGAACCACTTCAACTTGGTGAATCTGAACTCTTCGTTGAAGTTCGGCCCCGGTGATTACGTTGATCTGAAGCTCACAGAAGAAAACCGACAGATGTTGACGAAGATGGCATTTAAGAAAACGCCTACTGATACCTCCGAGGTCACAGTATACCTCTTCGATCATGCTGTCCTTCTGGTAAGAATCAAGGTTGTGAACAAACGAGAAGAACACCGTGTCTACAGGAAGCCCATTCCTCTAGAACTCTTGGTCATTCCTCAAATGGACGAAGTCATCCCAAAGCCCGGCATCGCGAAAAGACCATCGTCGGGTCTGCTTGCAAACAGAGCAGCTGTGAACCCACCGGCCGCAAAGGATACTCTGCCGATAACATTCCGGCATCTTGGTAAAGGTGGATATGAGCAGACGCTGTATGCCACGTCGTCTCAACAGCGAAAAAAGTTCCTGGAGATTGTGGATGAGCAGCAAACGAAGCTCCGAGAGCGCAATAGTAACTTCTACAACAAAAACATTATATGTGAGAAGTTCTTCAATGCGGTTAACAGGGTGAACTGCCTTGTCCCAATTGGTATGTCTCATCTAGTCCTCCTGGTTGATTATCAGCTAATTTGATCTCGATAAAGACGGCGGTCGAAAACTTGTGTACGGCACAGACAGCGGCATCTATGTGTCGGACCGAAACCCAAGAGACAAGTCTGCGAGACCAAGGAAGGTGCTGGATGTCAGTCAAGTCACCCAAATTGATACGCTGGAGGAGTATCAGCTGCTCTTGGTTTTGGCAAACAAGACTCTGTACTCTTATCCCATGGATGCTCTCGAGGTGGCTGAAGGGCAAAACTCAGTGGCCAAAAGGCCCAAGAAGATTCAAGGTCATGCGAACTTTTTCAAATCCGGAATCGGTCTTGGACGCCACCTAGTGTGTTCTGTCAAGACCTCTGCTCTCTCAACCACCATCAAAGTCTACGAGCCTATGGACAACCTAGCCAAGGGGAAAAAGAAGTCTACCGTCAGCAAGATGTTCCAGAGTGGGCAAGACACTTTAAAACCTTTCAAGGAATTTTATATTCCGGCAGAGTCATCGTCTATCCACTACCTACGGTCAACGCTTTGCGTGGGGTGTGCGCGTGGTTTCGAAGTTGTCAGTCTGGAAACAACAGAGACGCAATCCCTTCTGGACCAAGCAGACACCTCTTTGGACTTTGTTGCGCGCAAAGAGAACGTGAAGCCCATTCATATTGAACGAATGAACGGGGAGTTCCTTCTCAACTATAGTGACTTTTCATTTTTCGTCAACCGCAATGGTTGGCGCGCAAGAGCGGATTGGAAGATCTCCTGGGAGGGAACTCCCAATTCATTCGCACTCTCGCTACCCTACATATTGGCTTTTGAACCGAACTTCATCGAATTCAGACATATCGACACGAGCGAGCTAATCCATATCATGACTGGAAAGAATATTCGCATGCTACATTCTTCCACACGAGAGGTATTGCCAATCTCCCTCTCATTCAGTGGTGCCCTACTAACAGGCGCAGATTCTTTACGCATATGAAGATGATACGGGCGAAGATGTTGTGGCTAGCTTGGATTTCTGGAAGCACAAGCCGCTGTCATAGCATCAGGCCTACGCACAGAAATAGCGCCTGCTTTTGATCGCTTTTAGACCGGTTCCATTCTGCGCATTGAAGAAGCATTCGATTTCCCTTCCTTTCTACTTCTTTCTTCATTCCTCATTTGCTTCCTTTTTGAGCCGTCTCAAAGATTTTCTAATACCTCGCCGTTATTTGGTCCGTCCCAGATCGAGCTCGCTTTTGCTCTCCATCTCCCAATTGGCCATTTATTTCCATCCTGCCGTGTACAATGAAGCGCAAATACCATATGTTCTTTTTTTCATATAATCCTGTCATTGCCTTCTCTTCGTGTCCTGTTCTACCTACCTACTTATCTCATTTTGCATCCGCTTCGCCTTCCTTCCTTACCTCCTTGTTTGTTCTGTGTGGGAGTCTGTGTATCGCGTGTATCTTGTCCCATCCAACTGTCTCGCGCCATAGCAATTACATATAGTTAAGTTAGCTGCAGGGGAAGCTGGCCCTGACCCCAGCCATTCCTCTGAATCGACTGGCTTGGTCTTCTGCCCGGTGCACCCAAGGTTATTCTCTTAGCTTCCGTAGCCTCCGAGTAGACGTATCAGGATTTCAGCCAATCGATTACAAGTAATAGCCTTCGAGGGGATAGCAATGCTCCTCCGCCAATGTCCTGAGTGCGTGCGCGTTGGCCACCACGTAGTCTGCCGCATCTTTAGCTGTACACCCCCTGCCCTGCATAACCCCCTGTTTCAATAAACAGCATTTTTACCATGGTTCTTAGCACGGCTAGCACGACAGGCAGACTTCAATTATTTGTAGGCTAGAGGGAGCACATACGCACTATATATTTGTAACCGCCCATGTGCAACCGGGACTTCTCTACATTCAAGAGTGGGGGGATAAAACGCAATGCTAAGAAGTAGATCCCCCACCTGTGACCGCTGTGAATAATACATATAGTACTAAGATCATAGACTGTGGTGGCGGTAATCGTATGAGCTTGCGAATTGTCTGGATCATTATCTACCACTTAACGCCACCATCCTTAATGCATATCTTGTCGAAAGAAACTGAAGTAGGTCTAAAACACGGCGCAAATATGCATCTCCATAAATCTGTGTTGTGCAAAGACATGGGAGCAAAACCATAAAATGTCGTCTACTAGTCCGGTATGCTTTTGGGAGAAATGTCAAGATATTTCCAGAACGTAGTCCTGATGTACTTCTAGGAAATATGTGATTAAAACACTGGAACAAATATCTATATATCAAAGTATTTTGATTCGATGGTATATCATCACTCATAGCGCAATATGTACTGTAAACCCGATGGCCAAGCCAAACAAACCTCCAACAAGCATAATTGAACCAAGTGCAGGTGGAAGAAAGCACTCCCATTTTTTCTTTCCCTCCACATTAGCCGCTCTAGATACGGTAGATAGTCATAAATCGATCGACTCAAAAGTTCGGGACCACAACGCGGGCAATGTCCTCTGGCGGGTGATAATGGTGGTGAAAGTTCCCGTACTCAGATACCGTCCCTGCATAACTGCTCTGATAGTGATCCGAGGAGAGCCACGATCTACCAAAGGGAGAATCTGCCCGGGATCGGTCTGGACGGTCTGGCTTGTGCTCTCTAAAGAGGGGGTGGAGGCCTGGCTCTGCGACTTCTGTTGTGAGGGAGCTGTTGTTCTGGCTGTTGTGAGTTTCGTTGCTGCCGGGAGCCCATTCGAGAGGTAGGTTGAGGGAATCCAGGAAGTTTGTGAACTCTTCATAGTGGTGTGGCTCGTCGGGAAGGTATGAGGATGTTGTTGGGGCTGTTTGTTGGCTTAGCCGTGATTTTGAAGAAAACGGACTGGATGGGTGCAGAGGTGAGACATACGTGTGTAGCTTGGTAGGCCATGGGTAGCGCCGTTCGGGAGAAGCAACTGAGCGGCCTCGAGGATCTCCGGGTCATGGGTACATTCATTGCCGGTTTCGGGATAGCCATCTTCTTGCTTCACGTAGCTGTTGCTCTGGTGCATCGTCCACTGGGCGACTTCGGCGTCCTCCGGCGATGGGGGTACACTACTAGTCTCATGGGAAGCGGGGTTTGGTGCAGAGGCACGGCGAGATCGAACGGTTGCTGTCGAAGCACGCCGGATCCGTTGCTTTGTGTCATGGTCTGTCCTGTTCTGAGATTTGGGCGAGGTCTTCGAATTGGGCGGGTTGACGTCTTCATGGCCAGTAATTCCCATATGTCTCTTGAGCAGGTCGCGGCGGGAAAACGCCGCCCCGCACAAGCAGGTGTACGGCTTTTCCTTTGTGTCTGGAGTTCCGTGTCAGTAGAAAGCGCAGCAAGATGTCAGGAATTGGGAGAACGTACGAGTGCGAACATGACGCTCGAGATGCTCGGTGCGTCGAAAGCTGCGGCCGCAGTGGCCGCATGTTCGCGTCTTTGCTGCTGCCCCTACGCTCAGACGGCGCGAGTGCTGAGCAGTCGGGGCATGGGTTGCAGGCGACTGGGAGATCAGGGACATGGCTGTCTTTCAAGGAATTGACTTGGAGTAGGGGGGATCGCTCCACTTGGAGTAGAAGTGAAGTGGTTGACAGGAGGGGAGTGGGATGAACAGAGCTCCAACACGAGGCAGTGGACTCGAGAAATAGAAAATGGAAATGGAAACTGAAATGTAATGATAGAAGAGGAGAAGGCCGGCGAACCCCACATGCGATAATTGATAATGATAAAGCACAGCAGCTGCAGGCTAGTTCTGGTGCTGGTGCAGGTCCAGCCGGTCTGGCTCTCTTGCCTCTTGTCGGACTTGGTCCGCTGCACCAGAATCATAATTCAATCAACTCCCGGCCATTATTCACTCTGTTCCACAGTCCTGATTGACAATGATACTGACACTGACCAGTGACTCCTGACAGGACCAGATTCAACGCATTAAAACCGGACCCGACCCCCCAATCCCCGGTGCTGATCAGCCCCGAGTCGAGCCCCATCCCCGGATTTCTCCCCTGCCCGGAAAACCACCCCCAGTTTCAAATCAGTCCAGGTTTCAACGGCCGCTCGGATGGACTCCAGCATTGCGATGGACAAGTGCTTCAAAACCTCAACTGAGCCCGCGACAACAGCTGCATCAGCACAGTTTCGCGGCCCGGGGAGGCGTTGGCCGTTCCGCTGCGCAGAGGTACGATTCCGCGCTACGGTATCTGGCTACACTACTGTCGACGCTCGCCATCCAGATCAATTCCCCGGCCGCACTTCGCTCCAGCCTAGCCAGCGATTGCATTATTATCCGCGTCTGCCATGACTCGCCGACCACGGATCCTACAACGCCCGTCAGGACAAACTTCACCTCAACCGTGGACCTCGAAGACGCATCCGTGTTGCCTCTGAACAAAGCAACTCAAATGAAAATGTTAGGAGGGCGGTGGCGAGGAGCTCCTCCTGATCAGCTCTCTCCTCTCCGGCAGTCCAGAATGACCAGCCAGAATCGAGAGCTGCTATTTTCTCCGGAAAGTATATTCTTCAACCGTTTAGCCGATTTTCGCCCCGAAGGATCGCTTAACTTGATAAGTGACTGATCGGCCAACAGTCCGCTTCCCGCCGGCGCTCCCCACTGTGGATCGTGTCATGGGAAGGCGCGACTCAGCTGTCAGCCAGCCGGAGCCTGTCCCTGGCAGTGGCCGTTGTCAGGCCCAAGTGGCACTGACCCTTAAGCACTCGTCGCTGCGGAGCCACTATTCAGTGTCACGCTCGAGCACGATACAATTGCGAATCTGCAGCATTCTCGGCGCTTTTCCAACTACCGCATCCATGACTCGAGTCTAAAGCTTCGCTGATGCAAGCTCGGCCGAGTTTCACAGCTATAGATATAGCTATAGGTACGAAACAGATGTCGACACTCTGGGCCGAGTTCCGACTTGGCGGCTTCCTGTGTCGAGCGTCAGCTTCAGGCTTCTTCAGGATTCACGACCAGGATTAGATCACAGCTGGCTGAAGCCCGAAGGCTGAAGCCAAGTAGTCACCAGCCGGACAAGCGTCCGTCATGTTTTCCCGCAATAGGAAGCTTAACGACGGCCAGCGGCTTAGGCTCACTTGATTAGGAATGCCGAAGCTACATCGCTGCTGTCAAAGTGTCAGTAGCGTCGGAACATCCGACATGTGCGGAGGGCGGAGGGCTCATCCGACATCGCTATCGTATCGTATCGGAAGACTCGTGACAAGCCCTATTTAAGTAAAAGAATCGAGCAACTGATTCGAGTCCGCGATTCGAGGAAAGAGCCGAGGGTCGAGACTCAAGCGTCGATGGCGCGACGCCCGCCGCCGCCGCCGTCCGCCGCCCGTCCACGTGGCTGATAAAACTGATTTGAGGGTCGCGACAGTCAGTTGCTTCTATCAAGATTGGCCGCGGCCGCTGGGCTCTTATCAGTGGATAGGCTACTGTCGATCTCGTACTTTTACGCAGGGGAAAGAGCAAGAAGTCCGGAGTCTTTGTAGTGGGTAGATACTAGATAGGCATCGAGATAGGGATTCGTTATCGCCGCCGGATCGGCTGGGGTTTGGGATGCCGGTGTCGTTGACTCGCTATCGGTGTTTGATTTTATCGCCGATAAGCCTCGGCCGCATCTACTTCTAGAGCCCGATATACTACGGACCCCTCGGTTTGGCATCACGGAGCCAGTGTAGAATATGTAGAAGATGATGTTTATCGTACAATTTCTAGATATATCTAGATGACCGGGTATACAGTAGCATAGCACAAAGTAAGACAGGACGACAGACCACTGGATGAAGAATCTATCCCCAAGTCCCACCACCACCACCCCTCCCCTGCCTGCGCTGCGCCGAAAGACGCCAATCATCCTCGCCAGCGAACCGATTATGCAGCGGCTGGATCCTCTCCGCCTTCTTCCTCTTTGACAGCCGATCCGTCGGCGCAACCTTGAAGAACGTCGGCGCCGCCTCAACAAGCCACTTGGGTTCGATCCCCGTCGTGCAGTGCATGTACTCTTTCGTGGTGAGCACAAGCGTGTGGTAGATAACGTGCTCGGCGGGCTTGCCGAACATTGCAGAGGACGGATGCATGTACACGGGTGTCCCCTCGACAAGGGTCTTGTACCCCTCCTGCGGATCCTTGCGCGCTGCGTTGCGGAAGAAGCCCGTACACAGGGCCTGACGCACTTTCGTGGTGTTGCGGCCGCAGGATACGATGCGGTGGTGGTAGCGCTGCATGATGCCGAGCAGTTGCTGGCGGACGTCCTGCGCGCGGCGGATCTGGCGGGCCTGGATGAAGTTCTCAAAGCACCAGGCGTTGTTGAAGTTTGATTTCTTCCAGGCGTTGTAGACGTTGAGTAGGGTTAAATGGTCGCCGTGTGGGTCGTGGAACTTGGCCTTTTTCTGGTCCGCTTGCTGCTGCTTTTCCTTCGGTCTGTAGAAGACGGATTGGATGGAGAGCATGGCGACGATAGAGAGCATCTCCTCGGAGCAGCCCATGTCGACGGAGGCGATCAGAACCTTGGCGAGCGCTGGCTCCATGGGGAAGTCGGCCATTTTGCGGCCTAGGCGGGTGAGGAGGCCTTCGTCATCGAGGGCGGAGAGGGCGTAGAGCTCTTCCAATGCTGTAAGCATGGTGTTTGTTGGTGGGGGGTCCATAAAGTCGAAGTGGAGGAGGTCATTTATGCCCATTGCTTTCAGCATGAGGATAGTATGAGACAGGTTTTGGCGCTGGATTTCGGGGATTGTGGTCGGCAGCATCTCGGATTGGTAGGCGGCTTCGGTGTAGAGGCGGAAGCATTTTCCGGGTCCTGTTCGGCCAGCTCGGCCAGCTCGCTGTTTGGCCTGGGCTTGGGAAATGGGAGTCACTACTAAAGAGTCCATGCCGAGTTTGGGGTCGTAGGCGTTTTGCTTCACGAAGCCGGGGTCGATGACATAGTAGATGTTGTCGATTGTGATGGAGGTTTCAGCGATGTTAGTGGCAATAACGACCTTTCGGCCGCCAGAGGGTGCAGGGTCGAAGATTCGACTTTGCATTTCGCTGGGTAGGGCTGAGTAAACTGGAAGGATGACCAGCTCCGGGACAGTCGGCCCTAAAGCTTTCATCCGCTCAAATAGAATCTCGCATGCTGTGTCAATTTCCTCTTGTCCTGTCAAGAACAGAAGCATATCACCAGGAGGCTCAGTCAGGTGGATCTGCATGACAGTGATAAGAGCCGCATCGAGATAGTCCGACTCGGGCTCTTTCGAGTACATGATCTCCACGGGGAAGGTCCGGCCGGGAATAGAGAAGATGGGACAGCCATAGAAGTACTCGGAGAACTTATCAGCGTCCAGTGTCGCAGAAGTAACAATAATCCTCAAGTCTGGTCTCCGTTTGATAGTCTTCTTCAACAGCCCAAAGAGGACATCGGTTGCAATGGTTCGCTCGTGAGCTTCGTCAAGCATAATCACCGAGTACTTTTTCAAGTCCGGGTCCAACAAGACCTCTCTTTGAAGCATTCCATCTGTCATGTACTTGATCTTGGTCTCTGGGCTGGTGCAATCTTCGAAACGGATGGTATATCCGACCTCCGCACCAAGTTTGCAACCGACTTCCTCAGCCACACGCTTCGCAACCGACATGGCAGCAACACGACGTGGTTGTGTACACCCGATAATCCCCTTGTTGGCCCAGCCTGCTTCGGCCAAGTACTGAGTCACCTGCGTGGTCTTTCCTGACCCGGTGTCGCCGACAACAATCATCAGCTGGTTATCTGCCACAGCTTCCAGCAGTTGCTGTCGGAACTTGTACACAGGAAGACTTTCTCTCTGTTGCTTGATTGACATGCTCGTCCGTTTTCCGAATGACGGGTTCTTGCCCATTGTAACCCTCTTCCATTCCGGTACAGCCTCGTCCGTACCCGTTTGCTGAGTAGAACGGAGGTCAGCCGCAAATTGTCGCTCTTGAGCCATAGGATCCTGCCACTGCGCATTGAGATCCACCCCGGCTGCTCGCTCTGCAGCCTTGTCCTGGGCCTCCTGCTGCCTGAGTTCTCTTCGCTCTTTAGCAAGATTCGTACCCGCCATCGCGGAACGGTTCATGGATCCATCTGGAGCTTTGACCACTCGAATCGGGGACAGCTCCAAAGACATCTTCGTCTGGCCCGCCAGGAAAGGAGGTTCCTCGTCTTTAACCTCGATGTCGATGTCTTCCTCTTCCTCGAAAGTGCCCTCTCCGGTCAATGTAGCGTTATATTCTTCATCAATATCGGGGTAGTCAAGTGCCGAAACAGCGCCGGACGCAATCAGTTGCTTGATCTCCCAGCGTTCTGGTGAGGTTAAGCGCTTCCGGTTTTTCATCGGCCTACCATCGGATTCCTCAATGATAGGCACGTCAGAGCTAAGGTTGCCGTATCTATCATTTGCCGGCATGCCGTCCAATCGCTCCATGTTCGCCCCCGATGCAAGGCGCTTCTGCGGGATGAGGTCCCGCCCAGTTTCCTGATCAACCTCCTTCATTGATAGGCCAATGCGCGAACCTTGTATGCTGATCACTTTTACCTTCACTGGCTGACCCCTACTCACCAAATCAGAGGGGTGGTTCACACGTGCACCTTCCTGCATCGCCGACACGTGCACCAGTCCGTCAACCTTTCCCTTGACCCCCGGAAGATTCACAAACGCGCCAAAGTCCTTCACACCAGTAACACGCCCATCGTAGACCTTGTACAGTACCGGCTGTTCGTCCAATTCAACAGGCGGAGGTTTGCGGAAGTAATCATCATCGTCTCGTCGCCCTCTCCGCCGCTCACTTCGACCATTCCGGTACCCGTCGTCTCTTGAAGTATGCCCTCCAGTCGACCGGCCAAACTCATCCACCCCATCCTCATCCCTCATCTTATAAACCGGGCTGCGCGACCTCGACCTCGACCTCGAACGATACCGATCCCTCCGCCGGCGCCGGCTATGATCATCGTATTCAGGACTCCGACTGCGACTGCGCTTCCTTTCATGAGTCGTCCGCGACTCCGTCGTTTTCGTTTGTGTCTTTGCCTTCCCCGCCAACCCCTCCAGCATCGCAAACGTATCATCCATCGCACTATCCTTCGCATCCTCCTCTTCAACGCCCAGCCCATTCTTATTCCCGACATCCGTATACTCCTCCTCCGCCCATCCCCGCTCGCGATCCGGTACCGCCAGTCCCTTGAAAACACGTGCCTTCTTCTCCAACGCATTCAGCGCATCCATATCATCACTCGCAACATCTCCATTCTGACCCTCGGCTTCATTCTTCTTCTTCTTATTCTTATAGCTCGGATGCATTGTGAGCACCAACCGATCCACGCTCTCCATCAAACTCATCGGGAACAGGTCTCCGCCCATCGCCTCCAGCGCGCTCTTGAACTCGGCAAACGAAGAGCATTTTAGGTGTTGCTCTATTATATACTCCGCGAGGACTTTGTCGCTAACGCCCAGGTGGTTTTGTAGTTCGTTGGTGATGCGCGAGATGAGCGAGAGGTGTTCGAGGGATTGGAGGTCGTCCATGGTGGGTGATATTGAAACAAAGGAGTGTATAGAATAGGTAGAGGGTATTATGAGAAGGAAAGAGGGAGACACACACCCCTCACTTGATGCGATGGATGGTGGTTAGAAGTGAAGTAAGAGGAAGGTTTAAGCTGCTGCGGAAAATCGTTGTGGCGTGGCTGGCAAACTGCGCCACTAGGTACCGTAGTTAGGTCCTACAGATAAGATAAGGCGAGTATCAGCCACAGGAAGTATAAACATTAAACAAGGTACGGCAATGGTCCACTCCTTCTAATCATTATGATTGATTCTAAACGAGTTGATACTGAATATGATACGAGAAAACGAACTTGAGCGAGGTTGAGAGAACCCTATACTAGGCTAACTGGTGTACTATATAAATTAAGAATAGACATTAAATGAAAACCTAACATCTTCTGCCGTTATTTCCTCCAATCATTGGTGCATTCATTACTTAAAGAGCCAAGACAACCGCAGCAAGGGCCATCACGCCAGCGAAGGGAGAGCCAAATTGGTCCACGGTAGCGGCACCAGTAAAAACCGGAGCTTCGGGAGTAGTGCTGGTGGAAGTAGGTTGCTCAGGCGATGCTCCGGTGGGCACTGTGGTGGTTTCCTCGGGAGGGATTGTGATGGACGAGGACGAGGACGTGGTCCAGGTGCTGGTGCTGGTGGGGACCGGAGGAGCAGGTGTCTCTTCGGGTGGAGGTGTCGAGGTGCTAGTGGGATGAGGAGGCTTAGTCTCCGGAGGAGTTTCTGTCTCGGGTGGGGGTGTAGAGGTGGTAGTGGGATGAGGGGGCTCTGTGTGAGGAGGCTTGGTCTCCGGAGGAGTTTCGGTCTCGGGGGGAGGTGTAGTCGTGCTCTGTGTCTCACAAGGCGTTGTATCTGGAGGCGGCGGAGTAGTCGTGCTCTCAGTCTCACAAGGCGTTGTCTCTGGAGGCGGCGGAGTAGTCGTGCTCTCAGTCTCACAAGGCGTCGTCTCTGGAGGCGGCGGAGTAGTCGTGCTCTCGGTCTCACAAGGCGTCGTCTCCGGGGGCGGCGGCGGCGTAGTCGTGCTCTCGGTCTCACAAGGCGTCGTCTC